CCATCCACCCATCCACCCATCCACCCATCCACCCACCCATCCACCCACCCATCCACCCATCCACCCATCCACCCACCCATCCACCCACTCATCCACCCATCCACCCATCCACCCACCCATCCATCCACCTATCCATCCACCCATCCATCCACCCACCCACCCACCCATCCACCCACCACCCATCCACCCACCCATCCACCCACCCATCCACCCATCCACCCACCCACCCATCCACCCACCCATCCACCCACCCACCCACCCATCCACCCATCCACCCATCCACCCATCCATCCATCCATCCATCCACCCATCCACCCACCCATCCACCCATCCATCCACCCATCCACCCATCCACCCATCCACCCACCCATCCACCCACCCATCCACCCACTCATCCACCCATCCACCCATCCACCCACCCATCCACCCATCCATCCACCCATCCACCCATCCACCCATCCACCCATCCACCCATCCATCCACCCATCCACCCATCCATCCACCCATCCATCCACCCATCCACCCATCCACCCACCCATCCACCCATCCATCCACCCATCCACCCATCCACCCACCCATCCATCCATCCACCCACCCATCCACCCATCCACCCATCCATCCATCCATCCATCCAGTCCATAAATGTTCATCGACCCAGGCAGGCCCTGTTCTTGCCCCAGACTCCCACCCACTGCAGAACTGTCCTCTCACTGCCCATGTCAGCTTGGGCTGGGCGGCGGGGCTGTGGACGGGGGGAGGAATGCTGGTTCAAGCCCTTGCTATTTCCTGGCATGAGTGCGGTTTCCTGGTGGTTTGGATCTCTGTCCTTAGCCTTTGGTCCAGCTCACTGCCATTCACAGAGACACATGAGTGAGTTTCCTCTCTCATACACTGGCCCAGCACCCTCATTCATTCCCATTTCACAGAGGAGGAAGCGGAGGGTGAGGCGCTGCTCCAACGTGCAGGAAGAAGCCAGTGGTCTCAAGGGGGAGGGGGCGTGCCTCAGCGCAGGCCCGAAGGAAGGCACAGGTGGGTGTGGCGACCCAGGGAGGGCTGTCAGGGAGCTGTCCCGCAGAGGACACCAGCCGAGCAGAGTCTTGGGGGATGAGCGCACTTGACTGTGTGAGAAAGAACACAGCCTGCAGGGGAGGGTGGGGGTGTGTGGTTGACAGGTCCCTGGGGGAGGTGGTCAGATTATCTAGGGCTTGGCAGGCAGGGCAAGGACGTGCCTTAGTGGGAAGAGACCATGTCGTGTTTGTGAATGGAACAGTTCCGTACACTGGAGCTGGGGGCCGTGGGGGTGCGTGATTGTGTGAGCCGGAGCTGGGGCGGGGCGTCCGCAGGAGGCTCAGAGACAGTTGGCTCTTCCTGTAGACTTGCCCCCATTACACGGAAATGGCAAAAGTCTCGCTGGCCTAGAAAGGAGCTAGATGCTGCCTATACCATCCCAGTCTCTTTCTCTCTCCTTTCCTCTGCCGCCCTCCTGTCGCTTTGCAGGGCAGCAGGAGATGGGGAGCGGCCAGGACTGGCCCCTGGTACCCCTGCCACATCAGTCCTTTCTCCCTTTGCTTCCCCTCCCACCCTGCACGGGACAAGACTGGTGACAGCACCATGGCCCCGACTCGGTTGCCTTTGATAAGCCTCGCCATCTGCAGCTCTGTTCAGACCCTGCCAGACTTCAGCCTGACAAACGATAAGAACCTTGGAGACACACCTCTGGTGGGAGCGAGCTCTGTGCCAGGCTGGCGGCTCCCGGACGTTCTGCGCGGAGGTCCATCTGGGTGGCTCTGGGGTTTTAAAAAAGCAGAGTCTCCTGTCCAGCGCCTCACCCGCGGAGGTGCACTGGACCGCACTGCAGACTGGGTGCAGGCTCTGTTTGGCTGAGGGAGTACGCGCTCTTGAGGCCGGGCCTGTGCTTCAGAGCTTTGGCTGCAATGAGGGGGGCGGTGCACCCCCAGTTCATGCCACCCCGTCTTCCTCCTTCGGTACCCCCAGTTTTGGGTATCGAGATAGTTTCAGCTAGCACCCTCAGAGAGATGGGCGTGGAGCTTAGCACAGGACTTAGTGTGTAACTGACATTCAGTGCGTTCAGTTAGCGTGTTACTCCACTCAGGATCGGCCCCGAGGGGGCGTCGCAGATGTATAACAAGGCTTCTCCACGGTGCAGCTGTTCCCCAAGCAGGTGGGGGGGGGCAGGCATTTGGGGGTGGGGTGCGGGGGGACAGACAGTAAAAACAAGCGTTGTATTTAGTGGTGAGAAGGACTTTGAAGAGGGTAAGCATGTTGGGAGGGGAGGTGTCCTGTCTTATAGGCATGTTCAGGAGATGCCGTTTTTGGGTTTTTTTTTAATAAGATTTATTTATTTATTTTTGGAGACGGAAAGGAAGAGAGAAAAAAGGGGGAGAAACATCAATGTGTGGTTGCCTGTCACATGCCCCCACTGGGGCCCTGACCCACAACCCAGGCATGTGCCCTGACTGGGAATTGAACCAGTGACCCTTTGGTTCTCAGGCCAGCGCGCAATCTGAGCCACACCAGCCAGGGCAGGAGATTCTGTTTTGATAAGATGACACTTGGGCTGAGACTCCAACAACTGCAGAGTGGCTCCCCAGGCAGAGTGATGCAGGCCCCAGAACAGTGCGCACAGATGCCCTGAGGCAGGAGGACCTGGCCCTTGAGAGCGTCAGCAGGCCTGTGTGGCTGGGAGAGCCACGCTGGTGGGGGGAGCAGAGGGGACAAGCTGCTGGGAGCCAGTCTGGGGGTGTCACAACGAGACCTGGCCTCACCCTGGCCAGAGGGGTGACACAGGCTGGATTCTGCAACCATGGTGACAGGAGGGCTGCAAGGCTCTCCAGACAGAGAGGACAAGGTGTGTGGGTGGGAAGAGGTGAGTCTGGCAGGTGGCCCTGCCAAGTTTGGGGTGAAGAGGCTGTGGGAGGGGAGGTGGGTGGGCCTGGCCAGGATGTCACTGGGCAGTTGGGCCCAGAGCAGAGGCTGAGGCTGGAGACAGGCCTGTGAGAGCCTCCAGCTGCTGCGCAAGGCTGCAGGGCTGGACCAGCAGGCATCAGTGCGGTGGCTGGAGGACCGAGCCCTGGGTGCTCTGAGTGCAGAGGATGGGAGAGGAGGGCCGAGGAGAGGACAGCAGGAGGCAGAGCGGCGAAGGGGATGGGGAGAGGGCTGCGGATGCTGCAGGAGACGGGCTTCCGGGAAGAAGGGGGCATGAGCTGTGTGGGTGCTGCTCTGGGGACAGTGCGGGGGTGCTCAGGGGTCCTGGAGGCTGGCCGAGTGGGCATGGGGCCCGAGGACAGGGAGCAGAGGGGTGAGAAAAGGAGCCAGGGCAGCGGGCGGGGTCCTGGCAGGGAGAGGGTGGTTGGGGTTTGGTGCTTAGGGGAGGGAGCTGGGGAGGTGGGAGGGGTGCTTGGACCGTGGGTCTAGATTGGGGGTGGCAGTTATTAGGAATGATTAGGGGTGGCAATTGAGCAGGTAGCTGTGCGCCCTTGAGAGAGGTGAACCATGAGCTGAGAGACTGGTCATCAGAGGTCAGCTGTGCGAAGTGGTGTGGACACTGGTGGGCATGCCAGGGGCTCAGGTCCCCCAGACAGCCGTGAGGGGGTGTGGGAGGGTCTCCAGGTGGCTCTGCAGGAGGGGCTGGAGTTAGGAGGTCCCAGGGGCCAGCTCAGTGGCTTCTGTGGCGTGACCAGGACAGCCACCCCAGAGGAGCTGCGAGGCCGTTTGCTCCTGGAACCCAGTCAGCCCAAGACTGTTGGTGAAGGGAACCATCAGGAGATATGTCAATAAAAGGGAACAAGTCTGTTCACCTTGGAGTTGTCCCTAAACTCTCCTCAGAGTTCTCCCATTTTCCTCTGAATCAGGGGTGCCCTTGGGTCTGGTCCAGTGCGGGGTGGTGGAGAGAGGCCTCCAGGGCCCAGCTCTCCTGGCCGCTCCGCACTCTCCCTCCACAGTCCTAGCTGCCGTGTGTCCTGTTGGGGACTGAGAGGTGACTCCGTGCTGGTCAGTGAGCCCCCAGCACCCCTCCTAGCTCAGATGCCGCCTCCTGCAGGAAGCCTCCCAGATGCCTCTGGCTGGAAGTGCTTTTCTCCCTGGGAAGGCCTACGGTACCTCGTTTGTCTCTGTGGGTTGGCTCTTGCCCCATCCCCAGCTGGGCTTTGGTCAGCGTTCACGGATGTGCCGCGCCGTCTCTGTGCTGCAGGGTCAGGTGACACTGAGTTCAGCTGAGTTCAAGTCCCAGCATCGTCCGCGTCCAGCCAGGTCATGTGCCCATGGATCCTCCCTGAACCTCCGTTTTACCTGAAAATGGGAAACGGTCCCGCTGCCTTCACGTGGGCTGGGAGGACGCAACCATGTGGCTCGGCGCGGGGCACACGTGGAGCCCAATGGGCGTTTCTTCCCTTCAACAGGAGTCGCTGAAGGGCAGGTGCGGTGCGGCACTGTGCGCACCTCCACAGGCCAGGGCAGGCGCCCACGCCGCGTGCCCAGCAAGGCTGCGCCCGCCGAACTCGGGGCAGAGCTCTGTAAAAGTTTTCTGTAACATCTTTTAAAAATTCAGAGGGGTTGAGATACACAGTCATATTTTTCATTCAGCTCCTAGTAAAAATAGTTTGCATATGGCTATGAAAAATAAAACTTGTACAAGTTTAGGTGTGCCAGAACTGTAGTTTTTAAGTATCAGTTAACAAAAAAAGATTTTTCATATGGCTTAAAAAGGAATGAATTGTGTATGAGACTTACTGCTTTACATCAGGGTTGTTTTTTTTTTTAAATTTACTAAGACTATTTACAGAGAAAATTGCCTTGAAAACATTCAATAAATGCAAAGTGTTCTTTTTTCCATAGGCATGTCATTTTGCAATGCCTACAACTGTGAGTCTTTGAAAACATTTTATTTTATAAGAAGCCATTTAAAAGCTCATGTTTCTTATTACCATTTCGGTTTTCAACACTGGATCTTTTGACTTTTCCTAAATCACTTTTATACACAGATTTTAAAAAACATTAAAACTGTCGTCAGTGCCCTCAAGCTCATCGACGTCAACAAGACGGGCCTGGTGCAGCCGCAGGGGCTGCGGCGTGTCCTGGAGACCTTCTGTCTGAAGATGAGAGACGATGAGTACAGGACGTAAGTACAGGGAGGCTGAGCGGTTGCTCCGCAGAACTTGAGACCGCTCCCCCAAAGGGACCTGTCGGTGCCTCAGGGCCACAGTTGTCTTCCCTCCTGCCCCTCCCGCCGCCTCTCCTCTGTCCCAGCAGAGCTCCGTGGATTCTCAGGAGTGGGGGCTGAGGGTTCTGATTCCTGGGGACCCCCGGGGTGTGTGCATCTGGCCTGCAGCCCCAGCATCTTGATTAAAGCCCTCCATCACCAGCCGTCTCCTCTAGGCTGGCACCACGCCCTTCATCCCACGCGGCTCAGCTCACGGTGGACTTGTTCTCAGAACGCGTGTGGGGAGGTGTTGGGAGAAGAACGAAGAATTTTCCGCCTGCATTCATGAGTTAATGGGCTCCCTGTTGGCTTTCCGTCCTGATGGAGCAGCCGAGACTTCACTCTCCCTGGAGACCCGTTCCTGCCGAGGCCCTGGGTTGGGGGTGGGGGGCTGGTGCCACGAGGGAGAGCAAATCACTGAACGCTTAGCTGCTCCTTGGTGTTGGAAAGCCCCTTTCTTGTGCTCCTGACTCCAGGGCAGTCCTGTGCGGGCAGCCAGCTCAGCATTTTTATTTTTTATTTTTGAGCCTCCAGTAAAGTCTAGAGCATTTGGAAGGAGCCAGGTGTTTGGCTTCGGTGGCTTCTTGAGTTTTGAGTGGAAGCCACTGGAAGGAGGGCCCAAGTTCAACTTTATTTATATAGTACTCAGCTGGGAGGCCCTCAGCTCCTGCCTGTCCCCCTTTCGTGGCCGTGCCCCCAGGCTGCTCACGGAGCACACACCTCAGCGGGCCACCCAGGGGCCCGGCTCCACCTCATGGGAAACCGCTGTGCGAGTGGCTCACAGCGTCCCTCACACTGAGCAAGTCAAATGTCCACGTGACTGTCACAGGCCCTGCAGGGTCTGAAAAACAAGGAGACGTTTAAAAAATGGATATTTCCTCGTCTGCTGAATAATTTCTTTTTTCCTCTTTATAACCCACCTCAGAATATAAAAGCCATAATAGATGTTTTAATTTTTACATCTTTCCGGCTGGGAAAGTGTCCAGAATAAGATCCAAACAAAACAAATTAAATAATTTTGTGCACGTAATTATAGAACAGAAGCAACACTCTTTTAAAGCAGGCAATCAAAAAACAAAACTGTTTTATTTGACAATAAACCTTGCGTTTGGCACCGCAGTCTCCAACCTAGTAAATCTATAAAAAATGTTACTGTTTCTCCATCTCACAAGCATTGAATAATAAAGAACTCCGCACGTTTTTATTTGAGATTTTTTTAAGCCTCAGAAACAATCCTGCTTTCATGATAAGGCTTGAGAAACTTAATAGAATTGCTTTCCTTAAGGATGAGAACGTAGGAGATCAAAGCAGCCCATTTCTTCAATTGCTTTAGTGTCTCTGACTGACGCCGAAGAGCGTGCTCGTTCCCGGAGAAGCTGCTTCAGTGTTAGCGTTGCCTTTTAGTGTTTGGAGCAGGAGACACACTGCATCTTTCAATTTTTTTTTTAAATAGCTTTCTATTTCACTTCGGCCTGCAGTTCTTGGTGTGGTGGGCAGGTGTGGCCTAGGCATTGAAGTCAGGTGTGCTTGGGGTCAGGCCTGTGTCTGGCCTTTGCTTGCTCTCGGGCCATGGGGGGCCGCCACACCTCTGTGAGACTCGTTTTCTCTTAACCAGAGACCGGAGCCCTTGCAGGACCCGTATGAAGATTCCACACAATGTACAAAGCTCGCCAGGCACAGAGTAGGTGCTTCAGTCGTAGGGACGGGACCGTCATCCATCGATTGCATGGGAAGCAGCTCTCTGTGGGCTCCAGAATACCGTCCCATCTGCGTGAACAGGGGGCCAGAGAAGGCTCCCTCAAGTTTCATACTTAATCAGACCGTCCTGAGACCCACTGGGTTTTCTTTTATTGTTCATATCTTGCACCACTCTCCCTTCCATCGCCTGAAGACCAAAGGACCTGAATCCAGAGGAAATAATTTAGAAGCAGCATGAAAAACAAATTCCCTCCCTCCCCCCGTCGCTAGAGGCCAGTCTGCCGCCAGAGCCTCGGAGGGAAGCCCAAGGCTCAGCTCCAGCTGGTGAACTTGGACAGGTTTACTGGTCGGGAGGTGTCTCCCCTTTGCCCTGAGAGTCCGCCTTCCCATGTGTCCAGACTTGCCTGGGGGGGTCTCTGTGGACGTGTGGGTTCAGGTCCCTGGGAAAGTGGCCTTGGTTGTGGCATCTGAGGAATGGTTGTGTGTCCCAGGCCTTTATTCTTGTAAAAAAAGCTCTGTGAGACCCTGCAGGCTCGGGCAGCGCTGAGGCTTCGTCTTTGAAATTTCATTGATACGGCACTGTTACCACGGGCTTCTGTCTGTCTGTCTGTCTGTCTGCCTGCCTGCGCTCGGTGAACCTGCAGCGGGCACTGTAACCGAGCGTGCACTGGGCATCAGGGGAGGTCAGGGTGCTCTTTGGGGCCAATAGAAGTTTGCGGGATTGCCGGATTTTCGCAGAAAACAAGGAAGCTGGTGGCGAGACTTTCAGCAGCATCCTGACATTTTCCTGGAGCAGAGAGTGGCCACCACTTTCGGGTGGTCAGCAGACTCGAAAAGGAGCATGGTAGGGCCACTGTTTAGGTTCTGGAACTTACAGCCTTCTTGTCACCAGACGGATGCTGCGGATGAAAGAGGGAGCTATTTCGGGCGTTCTAGCGCTAACATCTGGCAACCATCATGTCTCAAGACAATTTTGCTTTTTAGAACAATAGACAAGCTTTGTCAAAGCGGGAGAAAAGGTGCTCACTGAAATGAATGCATGACATTACTCTGTTAAATTTGGAAAACAGGAAAATAACAAATACTTTAAGGGATAATTACTAACTTTGTAGAAGCAGTGCAGAATTAGATAATTATAGAAAGCAACACATATGGAGGTAATGTAACCAAACACTTAAAACTGTCATTTTTTAATAAATGTAATAATGCAAAAATTGTGTAGAAAACCATTTATCAAGTGGCAGATTTGAATAATTGGAAAAAAATCCCCATTTATCTTAACTTTTAAAAAGGATTATCCGTATATTTCAGGGAGAAACATTGGTTCTGCTTAAAAACGTCCTCTTTATAGAAATCATAGCATGGGACACGACCCCCGACAAAACCCCCCCTCGACTTGTTTTGAAACAAACTGTCACCTGGGGCCTCGGTTTCCTTAGGGAGATGATGTGCTTGGTTGAGACCGTGGGCCACGTGCCCCCCCCCCCAGCTCTAGGTTACTCTGATGAGCGACGTTTCACAGGGAGAACCTATGGCCCAGCCCCATGCTGCCAGTGACCCAGTGACCCAGTGACGAAAGGGAAGTGGGACCTAGGCTTGCTCCAAGTACAGAGGCCGCGGCTCTCCTGCCACCCACGCCCTGGCGGCCCCTGCCGCCGCCTGCCAGAGAAAGAAGTCCTGGAGGCGTCCCAGGCAGGGCTGCCCTTGGTCCCAGGCCTTCCTGCATTCACCCATGGCAGTCAAGGGCCCTCCTTAGAAGTGTCCATTTTTTAAAGAAGGGGTGACATTTCCTGGGGTCTCGTTTTCCTTTTTTTTTTTTAATAACAAATCCTCAAGATTTTATTATCACATAATAAAACAAAACACAAAACTCAGAACTGGACCACGTGGCTCTTTCTCCCCCCAGTCAGAGCGCTCGCTCTGCTCAGTGGCCAGTGCGGTCTCAGCTCTGCCGCTGGGCTCACAGTGCTCGAGCTCACTCTTCGTAGTTTCAGCATTTTTGCGGAAAATTGGCTCGGTCTGTGCGCCATGGCCACTCCGCTCCCGTCCTCACGCCCCTGCTCGCGCTGCGGGACTCCTCCGGGGGCCAGTGCTGGCCGGTGCCCTGCCAGGAAGTCCGGCGGGTTTCGGCAGTTCAAGTGGAAGAAGCGCTGGGCTGTATGTTTAATTCCGGCTCCGTTTGGAGGCACACGCTAGGATGAATACCCGCTGCGGTGGGAACACTGCCCCGCCGTCATTCCTGGTCACTGGAAAATGTTTCTGTTTCAGGTTTGCGCAGCACTACAACATTGATAAAGACACCGCGGTGGATTACAATGTTTTTTTGAAGAACCTCAGTATAAATAATAACTTAAACCTTAAGTACCACACGGGAAACCAAGGTACGTATTTTCAAAGTGGAGAGCTGAAGATGTCATGGTCCTTTGCATTGGTAATTACTCTCCTGTGGCCCTGTCTCGAGGACGTGGTGTCACACAGCGACGTGCCTTATCCCAGAGCAGTCCGGGTGTCGTGACTGGGGAGAACAACCTGCGTGTCTCACCCTCCGAAGGGTCGGCGAGTCACTGGCACGTGCGCGCCGTGGTGCGCAGCCCCGAGCCACGGCTTCCCTGCAGGCTGGACAATGGGAGCTCGTGTGTAGGGAGCCGGCAAGTGGCGGGGAGGAAATTCCAGACCCCAGATTATTTTGAAATGGTGTGTCTGCAGGTGTTGCTTGGTTCTTCCTGCTGCTTCCATCTTTCCCACAGTTTTTGACAATCAGTATGATACTCCTTTCACGATGGGGAAGAATCTTACGATAAAAGGGCAAAAAGTCGAGTAGATTTTAGGAAGCTGATGCAGGTTTAGAAGCTGGAGAGGAAGTTTGCCTTTCTTCCTCCCAGCCTGGTCGGTCGCAGAGTCTCCCTCGCAGCCCTCTGGTCCCTCGAGGCTGGGGCTTTCCTGCCTCCGAGCCCACCGCCCGTGAGCCGCTCATTCCACAGTGGTCGTTGCCGAGGGTTATTTCAGCTGAGTGCAGCCCCGCACTGACCCCTGGCACGTGGTTCACAGGCCTGCCCCACCAGCCAGCCTGAAAGGGCCCGTTCTCAGATTGTAGAGCCTCCCACCGAGGGAGGTGGTCCGGGCTCTGCACACAAGCCTTCCAAGTTCGGGAGTCACTAGACCAGGTGATCTCCAAGGGCCCTTCGTCCTTCGTGTTTTGTTAGTTCACGGGCAGGTCTGGTGCTGCCAGGCCCGCAGGGGGTGCGAAACCAAGGACGCCCTCTGTGTTTACGAAGTGTGTGTGTGTGTGTGCGCGCGCGTGTATACATATCACATAGGGCAGGTATGTGGTGTGTGTGTGTTTGTGTGTGTATACAGGGTCCAGCAGAAGCAGTGCCTGCTTAGTGTGGTCGGGAGGATAATTTTATGGGTGTAATAATTTATAGTTTTAATTTGAACATTTCACCTAAAACGTCACGTGGTGTGCTTGGGTGTGACATTGTGCTACAGAATTCCACATTTATGATTTTGTAGTAATAAAGGTGTTATTTGTGCTGGACTCTGTGTATAACATGCACATTAAATAGAGATAAAATAAGTCCCATAAAAAAGAATAATCAAAAGCAACAATTTGTCGTGTTCTGTGTAGACACTTTATAAACCTTAATTTCGGGTTTTACTTCTCTCAGTAATTTTGTGCAGTGGGTTTTAGGATCCCATTTTCAGTGAGAAGACTCGGACTTGGGGTGCTGAGTGAACGTCCCAACACCACCCCGCCGGTTCGTGGTGGGGTTGAGACTCGACCGTTCAGCTCCACAGTAAATGATTAAAATGCCTTTGAGGGAAGAACAGACGTCACAGGTGCTCACAGGGGATGGGGAGGTGGCCGAGCGGGGAGGCACTGTCGCAGGACCAGGGCTCACGGGATGTGTGTGACGGATGTCAGGGATTGGGCACCCCAGTCCCAGGCCCCGGGGCAGCGGTAGGTTCGCCCAGGCGAGATGTGAGGTGGGATCCAGCCTGACTGAGGAGCATTTTCATCCTGAGTAAGTTCATGTGCCAAGTCGATTACCATAATAGTCGACCCCACTTAATGAGCGCTCGTTCCACGCTGGGCACTCGTGTTCTTCTCAGTCACGGCAGCCAGGGGAGGCGGGCACGGGGGCGGAGGAGCAAGGGGGTGGCCACCCAGGAGTAAACAGCCACCATCAGCATCAGTGCTGGCCTCTTCCCTGCAAGTCTGTGCAGGGGAGGGACAGAGAGGAAGAGAGACATTTGGAAAAACAAGTTCATGTGCAGGGTCCGGCAGAAGTAAGGCTGCTTGAGTGTGGTTGGTTGGGTAAACACGCGGGTGTAGGAATTATAGTTTTAACTTGAATGTTTCACCTACACTGTCATATGGTGTGCTTGAGTGTGACATTGTTATGTTACAAAATTAAATGCTTAGGAATTTGTAATAAAAAGGGGCGTTTTTGTGCCGAACTCTGTATAGGCTATTTTGTGTGTTTATTTCTACTTGAGTGCTTCAGAAAAGTAGAAATTGAAATGGAGAATGAGGAAGACGTTGACTGAGTCTTGGCTGCATGTCACACGGGCGGGTCACACGTCCCTCCTTCAGACCCTTGTGGACTTCGACCCACTGCCTTCTGCTGCCAAAGCCAAATGTGCAGAAGTCCTGGGCCCCCCGCTTTCCTCCCTGGTTGGAGCTGGCTGCCTGAAGGGTTATGTACCCCCAAATTTCAGCAGTGCGGCCGGGGTATGTCTTGGTGTTGAGCTTTCTGTATCCATTTCCCAAAACAGTGTATTTTCAACTTGCCAATTGAATTATTTCTTTATGTCAAGGGTTTTTTTGAGGAGTAGTGATATGTATTTTCTAATATCTTCTGTTCCATTTTTCAGATTTTTAACCTCAGGGATGCGCATTGTCCTTGTGTTGGACCGTCTTTGTCCTCCACACCGATGACCGTCTTTCACTGAGCTTTACTCTCCTTTTCCTCTGTGTTCTCAAGGCTCATCTGAGCTCTTCTGTCTGCACCTGTGATTTGACTTTCACTGAAGTGTGTTCTGTTACTTGCTGGGTCTACTTTATTACTTCTATAATGGTCTTCCCTTTGGTCTACTATATTAGTTTTCATCTCATTTTGTTCTTTTATTATCTTCTTTTATTCTTTGACTGAATTCATGTTCTCGTTAAGAAGTTCTATAAAGTGATTCCGTATCTCGAGTCAGATTTCTTCCAAAATGGGATCTTTGCCTTTTTGCATTAGCCTCCCTTCCTGCTCTGTCCCCCTGCCTGCCCCTCAGCATTTTTCCTGTAGGGTTTGCATAATTTCAAGAAGTTTGGAGAAGCCAGCACTTTAATCCATTGTACGTCTTTAATTAACCACAGTCTACGGGTAAATGACATGACGCAAAGCCACGTGACGTGGCAGTGTCTGCCCAGCGCCTCCTTCCCGCTTTTGTTGCATCTCTGTCACACATCATACTTCCACAGACTCTGTAGGCACCGTACATTACGCGACTTCTGTTTTCTGTTGTGTTTTATTGATTGTGCTCCTCCAGTTGTCCTGGTTCTTCTCCCTGTGCCCTCTTCCACTCGGCGCCCCCACTCCCTCGGGCGGTCCCCCCAGCATTGTCCACGTCCGTGGAGCATGTGGTAAAGTTCTTTGGCTGCCCCGTGTCCTGTGCTGGACTTTACATCCCCACGGCTGCTCTGTGACTACCTGTTTGTACTTGTCACTCCCCTCACCTCTTCCCCTGTTCTCCCCCAGACCCCCTCCCATCTGGCAACCATCAGAACACTCTCTGTGTCCATGATTCTGTCTGTTCTTCTTATTTGCTTTGTTTGCTTTTTAGATGGAACTGTTGATAGTTATGTATTTTTTGCCATTTTATTGTCCATAGTTTTGATCTTGTTCTTTTTCTCAAATAAGTTCCTTTAACATTTTATATAATAATGATTTGGTGACGATGAACTCCTTTAGTGTTTTCTTGTCTGGGAAGCTCTTTATTTGCCCTCCAATTCTAAATGAAAGCTTTGCTGGGTAGAGTAATCTTGGCTGTAGGTCCCCACTTTTCATGACTTTGAATATTTCTTGCTAGTCCTTTCTTGCCTGAAGAGTTTCTTTTGAGAACCCAGCTGACGATCTTACAGGGACTCCCCCGTAGGTAACTAACTGCTTTTCTCCTGCTGCTTTTAAGATTCTCTCTTTATCTTTAACCTCTGGCATTTCGATTATGACGTGTCTTGGAAGGGGCCTCTTTGCACCGTCTTGTTGGAGACTCTCCTGCTTCCTGGACTCACATGTCCATTTCCTTCACCAAGTTAGGGAGGTTTTCTTTTGCTATGTTTTCAAACAGATTTCCATTTTCTTGCTCTTCTTCTTCTGACATCCCTATGCTGTGAATGTTGGACTTCTTGAAGTTGTCCCAGAAGCTGCTTATACTGTCCTCATTTTTTTGGATTCTTTTTTCTTCTTCTTGTTCTGTCTGATTGGTTGTTTTTTGTTTTTGCTTCCTTGGATTTCAGATCATTGATCTGAATGTCAGTGTCATCCACTCTACTGTTGATTCCCTGTAAATTGTTCTTTATTTCAGTTAGTGTATTCTTCATTTCTGACTGGAATTTTTTATGCTCCTGAGGTCCTCATTGAGTTCCTTGAGCATCCTTATATCCAGTGTTTTGAACTCTGCATCTGACAGATGGCTTATCTCCATTTCATGTAGCTCTTTTTCTGGAGTTTTGATCTGTCCTTTCATTTGGGCCATGTTTCTTTGTCTTCTTGTTTTAGCAGCTTCCCTGTGTTTGTTTCTATGTAGTAGGCAGAGCTGCTTGGACTCCGTATCTAGGTCATGTGGCCTAATGTAGTAGGTGTCCTGCAGGGTCCAGTGGCAGAGCCTCCCATATCATCCAAGCTGGGCACTCGAGGTGCACCCTTCGTGTGGGCTGAGTTCACCCTCCTCTGGTGGTTAAGCCTTGGTTGCTGTTAGCAGATCATCGGGAGGGATTTACCCAGATACAGCTGTACCCCAGGTAAACCCAGGGATTTTTGCCATTTTTTGTTTACCCCTGGGTAAACCCAGGGATTTACTTGGGGTACAACTGTGCCTGGGCTATTCCCAGACACCCGGGCACAGCTGCAAGGACTGGCTGTAACCACGTACCATCGACCTCTGCCCTCCGTGGAGGATCAGCTGTGTAGGGCAGCGTGGTGGGGCTCTGACCTGGTCTGTAGCTGCTGCTGGGTGTGCAGGCTCCCGGGTTCCCTCAGCGCCCCCATACCTTTTACCTTCTTTCAGCAGGCCAAGGTCAGCCCCCACTTTAGGCACCCTGCCTAAGCTGTACAGTGATCTGCGGTGGCTGCTACTTGTGCTGGCCTTGGAGATTCCCAGTCAAAGCCAAACTATGAATTTAAGCTGGCTGCTGCTACTGCCAGGCCTGGAGCTCATTGAAGCCAACTGTTTTTGTTTGATGGGATTTAGGAAGCTGTGAAGCATGAACCAAGACCCGCCATTCAAATGGAAAAGCAGCTTGGGTGGACCCATAAGTTGGGTGGGGCAGGGTCTCTGGGGATCTCCAAGGTGGGTCAAACAGTGTTAGCCAGGTTGATGGAGTCTCAGATATGGCACCAGCTTGCTGGCCCTGTTGGGGGAAGGTTTAGGAAAGGGACAATGGCCTCTGCTCACCTCGATGACAGACACTTCGGTTTCTCCCGCTATGCCACTGGCCTTTCATGCTGCTACTCCAGTGCTGGAGCTCAGAGGAAGCCAGTCTGAGAAGATGAATCTTACTTAGTGTGGGTTCTTTAAGAGGAACCGCTCAGGGCTCCAGAAGTTTCTTCCACTGACTCATTCTTGCTGGTTTTTGCAGCCAGAAATTTTAGGGATTTACCTTCGTGGCACTGGATCCCTGGGCTGAGGGGCCTGGGTGGGGCTGGGACCCCTCACTCCTAAGAAAGCGCTCCCAAATTTTTATCCACCACACGTGGGTGAGGGACCAGCCCACTCCGTGTCTGTGGTCCTCCTGCAAGTCTGGATGGATGTGGTCTCTTTATTCCATGGTTGTCAGACTTCCATTCAACTTGACTTCTGACCATTCTGAGTGATGGTGGTTCTGTGTTTGAGTTATAATGTCAGTGTGGTTGTGTGAGGAGGCACGTGTCTCTCTGCCCAATTTCAAATTATAACCGACCGAACCGGGTCTCATCCACATGTCGCCTTGATGTACGACCCCGCACGTAGTGTTGGGAAAGCAGGTTTTATTTATAGGATTCCAGCCCTGGGCAAGGGGGTCGGAAGCGCTCTTGCTCGGGGCCCTGCTTTCCCAGGAGCCCCAGCACTTGCCCTGCCCCCTAACAGGCTCTGATCCACAACCCAGAAGTTCCCGCGTCCTCATCCGTCCCTAAGCCAGCTGCACAAACAGGTCTCCATCCCCTCTGGAATGTGCACTTGTGGGGTTCGGGGTCACCCCCTCTCGCAGCAGCTCTCTCTCTCAGCATCTGGGTTGCGTTGTCCTCAGGCTCCACGCAGTGGCCCAAGAAGCTTGTGCCGTGTTATGCTGGACCACAGTGGAGGCCAGGGAGGCACGCGTCCCAAGAGAGTGGCTTCTCTGTAGGTCCTCGAAGAAGCAGACTGACTCAGCCTTCCCAGTCACAGTTTGGTTCAGCTTGGAGCACCCCCCAGGAACCTGTGCTTGGTTCGCCAGGTCCCCACACACCTCCAGGAGCCCTCTCCTTACATCCTGTCCTCCAGCCCGCAGGCTGCTACCTCGCTACAGACCACACAGCATCCTCCTCCTCACTATCCCAGGCCACATAGTGGAATCTCCTCTTTCAACCCACCGTTATTTTAACCTCTCAGCCTGGACCTTCCTGTGTGACCTCAGCCATCTCCTCCTGTGATGTGCTATTTTGCCAGTTCCCCCATATCTTTTACCTTCTTTCAGCTGCCATCTTTAGTCAGGGCAAGAGTCACCCATGATGCGCACGCAGGACATCCGGGGTGGGCGTCCACCTCCCCGGCTGTCTTGAGTCACTGTACTCTCAGAAAGACACACACCTTTTGCCTGGGGCTGCAACACAGCTACCAGCTAGTCATTGTTATACATAGTATCTTAGCCACCATATCTTCCACTTTCCCCTTCCCCCCATCCAGGTTTGTCGGGGTCTCAGGGGACCCCTGCTCTGCACCCCATCACAAAATGAGCTAGACCCCTTCAGAGGAAATTTAGGGACCATGGGGAGGTGGCAGGAATGACGAAGCTTCACTGAAACCTGGTGTAACTGAATGAGGTGTGGTCAGGTCTGCAGCCAGCCGATGAGGTGGCTCCTGAGGGCAGCTCTCGACCTTCAATAGCTCTTCGCCCCTGCCCCCCAAGGGGCCTGGCTTGATGGGTCCAGGGTCCCATGGGTTTCTTTAGATGTGCTGTGTGCGTCCCTGTGAGCTTCCGTCAGCAAACCAGTGCCTCCAGAGTGGAGGGGGCTAGGATGGTGTCAGCAAGTGCATGGCCAAGGCAGAGTGCGGTTTGGGCGTGGCTTCATCTTTCAGTGAGGCTGTGCCCACTGTTCTGAGCGTCTGTCCCAGGTCGAGTTCCGAAGGACTGGCTGGCTCTGTATTTTATTGTGTTGTCAGAGTCCACTGTGGAGGCCTTGCCTCTCCACAGTCCCCCCGCCCCCCCGGCCTCCCTCCCTCCCTCTCTCTCTTCCTTCCCTCCTTTTTTCTTTTGGTATGAAGTGGAATTCCAGATGACTGGCAGTTTGTTAACTACAGTTGAGTAGTTACCAGTGTGCTTCATTTGAGTGAAGCTTATTTGCAGACATGTTAGGAAATAAATCTGGGAAACCATTTGTGATTCTTTGCAGTCAGCTTTGAGGAAGAAATGCCTGTATTTTAGATTTATTTCATTATCTTTTATCATAAAAATAATACATGCTTGTTGCAAAAAAAAAAAAGCCAGAAAACACAGGAACACAGAGTAACAGTCCCCTGTAATCCACTACTTGAATCCCACCACTGTTGGCATATTATCCTCCCAGATTTTGTTTCTGATGCATGGGTGGATGGATGGACCGATGGACAGGTGGATGGATGGCTGGGTGGATGGATGCATAGGCAGATATGAAAACTAAATGTTAAAATGAGAATTAAATTATGCTAGTTGTTTTTTCCTTTTGATCACAAAACACTGTATATCAAATAAAAACTTCCACATCCATTAATTGAGACAGGCACCTTTGTTTTAAATATCTGGGTAGTATTTCACAGACCGGACAAGCCATGATTTATAAAGCCAACCTTCTCTCTATTCGCCGCCAGTTTCTTGTGTCAGTTTCTTCCCTTCTGTCAACAGTGCAGAGTGCACCCTTCCCGGTGCCAGTCTGTCGAGTGACCCACTCAGCCCCTCGCTGTCCAGTTCTAGAATGGGACTAAGGAGCGTTCAAGTTCCGGGTTCTCTCTGCACAAGCTCCAGCCCCCAGTTCCCTTATCATCCCCTTTAGTCCCTGCGGACTCGACAAGTGGGAAAACATGTTAACTTGTTTTAATTAGACTTTAAAAATTACCAGTGACTTTGAGCAGTTTTTCATACATTTGTTGGATTTTTTTAGTCCTTTTTATGTGAATTATGTGTTTATAACCTTGGTGTATTGCTCTGCTGAGTGTATCTTACTGACTTTAAGAGCTACTCCTGTATTATGGAAATTTACCTGTATTTCTCATGTGTATAACAGTAGTTTTCCCACTCATTTTTCTTTCATTGTTGTGTGTGTTTAACCAAACAAAAATAAATATATTGTCAGACCTAGTCATTATTTCAATGATTTCTTGCTCTAAAGTGTTAGTTAGAAAGAACCTCTCAGTCAACCATTGTGTATTATGTAGTATTCATCTTCATTTTCTTCTATTATAGCTTTGTTATTCTACTTGGTGTACATTTTGCTCCAAGTTTTATCCAAGAATAAGATAGCAAGGAGATTAATTCTATTTTTTTTCTAACGTGTTCATCTAGTTTCTTGAACACCATTTATTCCATAGTTCATCATGGTTTTGGTTTACTCAGGTCTCAGTTTCTACCAGTCAGGTTATGAAAAAAGGAAACTTTTAATATTTAAATGTACCTTTGACTATATCAATAGACTAAAGTTCTTTCGTTTTAATAGAGGTCTCCTGGGAGAGTCAACAAGTCAGAAACTCCAGAAGGGACTACCTCTTCAGTTCAGATCTGTCTACAAGTGTCTGGGAAGACTGTCCCTTAGATGAAATCGGGAGGACCTTTTGCCAAGAGGTGAGAGTGTTTCCCTGGTCCCTGGGTCACCGAGCACAGCAAGCAGGCAGGGAGATCGATCGGCAGCTGGGGACCATCCTGGTTTCTGAAATTAGCTTTGGGCCTGCCTCCGCCCCTGACTCCACCCCCGCCCCTGACTCGACCCCCGCCCCTGACTCCACCCCCGCCCCTGACTCCACCCCCCACGCCAGCTCCTAGTAACGGTAATGCAGTGGCCTGAGGGCAGGGATGTGGCATTGATTTAAGGGCTTTCTCTGCACTGCTTACACACTAACGCTTAAAAGAAATACTTCAGCCATATAAAAACACGAAACAACTTTGTTGAGAGAATAAAGAAAAACGTGAATGAATAAAGAGGCCTTTTCTAGTTCTTAGATTGGAAGATTCATTATTAATGCCTGATCTCCCTACGTGTACAGGAAGAAAGAGATGTGTTTTATACACACACGCGCGCGCACACTTTATTTCTAAAAGTTGTAATAGAGGACTTGTCCTATCACATATAAAATGTCTGTAAAGGCACAATAATGTAGATAGCCTGTCACCTGCACGGCCACGGGCATCGGAGTTGATTAGAGCTGTGGTTGGATAACAGACCAGTTTCACAGGCCGGTGTAGCCATGGCAGGAGGTCCGGTGGGCCGGGCGGGGCAGCCGCTCATCGCCAGGGTAGCCCGCCAGCTGGCCACCAGCGGGGAGCTGGCCCTTCCACTCTTCACACCAGAGCAAATTCTGTGTGCAGCCACTGTTTACATTTAAAAATAACGTGGGCGAAAAATTTTTAATTTTGACATTTAGATTTTTAAACGTGAAGTACAGCCCGAAAGCCATTCAGAAAAAGACCGATGAATTAGACTGCATTGGAATGAAGAAGCTTCCTACGGAAACGTCTGTATAAACAAAGGACAAACTTGGAGGAATATGTGCACAGAAATGATAGATAAATGATAACCGCTCCTAACAGACATAGAACTTCCACAAACCATTAATATAAAACTTTTGGTGGAAGATTGTCAGTGAAGAAATTAAGAGCAGCCAATGCTGGTCAGGTGTGCGGAGGGAGCGCCTCTGCACACTCGGTCAGGCGGTAGAACTTCCTGTTGTCGTTGTTCGTGAATTATACTGTTTTCCTGAAAACCTGAGCATTACAAAGCACATGGCCGTTAAAACAATGTGAGCAGTTCTGAAAAGTATAAAGAGGAAAGGAGTAAAAAATGATTTAAAACCTACCACTACCCAGCAATAATCAAAGGCAACATTCAGAGAACATAATTCTAGGCCTCGCTCTGTTCTCAGCCGCAGGACAGCTGCCACAGTGGGTGGGCGAGTGGGTAAGCAAGAAGAAGGCATGTGGAGTTTAAATGTTTTGGGGGCCACCTACCTGCCAGGGGTCTGTTACCATCCTTGTTCCCAGCTGGGGAAGCTGAGGCACAAAGAGGCCCCAGGATGTGCCTGAGGTGACCCTGGAGCCGCGTTTCAAACCCAGGCCTCGCCCACAGCGCTGTCCTCAAGTGAAATGAAGTCGCGTCTGAGCTCTGGACAAATGTTCCACCAGCTCAGGAGCTGCTGGGTCCCAGAAGGGAGTGGGAGGCAGGAAGAGCGACTGAGAAAGCCGTGAGGAACTGGAGAAGTGAGGGGGTTTGAAGGATGTCTTCATTACAGACAGCAAGGGCTGCTCTCTGCGGAGCTTCCCGCTGCCCCTCCCCCCTCAGGGTTTTTGCTGTTTGCACTGGTTCTTCGAATTCCTTGTGTTTGCACTGCGCCCCGTTACAGAACTTCCCCAGTGGTTTTGCCTTCTTTTTGTTGGTACATGGCCTCACCCCCACGCTTTTTCCCTTTCCGAGTTCTTTGTTCTGGTTTAGTCTCTGGTTGGCTGCTTTCACTGTGTAGTAATTTCCTCAAGGAAGGCTCAGGGGTGCTCTTCCCTTCGTTTTTCATTTCGGAGACTCGCTGCCTTTTGCTCTTTGACTCGGGCACAGACATGGCGGGGTCTGGCTCTCCCCTCTCCCCCCCCACTGCTGCATTTCCCATTGTCCTCTGGCCCTGGGCGTTCTTGAGAAGAAGCCTGAGGCCAGCTCATTTTTTCCTTCCCTTGTAGATGATTGTTTCCCTGCCTAGATGCCTGAAGTATTTCTTCTTGATGCTGGAAATTAAAAAGCAAAATTAGGCCAAGTTGGCGTGGGGCACTTAATCCAAGTTTCCTGGAGCCCAGCAGGTTCTTTGCTGCACAGATTAGTTGTTTTATTCCGGGGAGGTTTCCCTGCTCATTCACTGAATCTCCTCCCTCGCTCCGCCCTTTCCCCCTCCCTCTGCCGGTCTTCCCTCTGTTCTTCCTTCTGGGGTCCCCCCGGTTACCTGCACCAGGATCATCTGTCTGTGCCTGTCCTCCATCACGTCATCTTCCTGGAATTGCTTTCACCGCCTGCCGCTTCCTCTGCCTTCAGAGGCCGTGCCTTTACTGTTTGTTTGAATTTCAGTCTTGTCGCTTATTCTTGCTGTTTCTAATTTATTATTTCATGTAATGATGTTGCTTTTGTTTTCTATTTTCTTACCTTTGAAATATCCTTTCTCATGGCTTTTATTGTTTTACCATCTTGTCTTCAAGCTTTTCCTTTAATGAATTTATATTTTTATTTAGTTCCTTTTAATGGCACGAAACCTTTACAGGTGATACATTGTTTCTCTACTGTTTCCACACAAACTGGGTTCTTTGTCTTTTGCTTGATACTTGTTTCTTGTTTTCCTTTTTTTGTAGTGTTACCGGTTTCACTGCTGTAGAGTGCCCCAGGATCCTAATCTGCACAAATCATACACTCCCCCAGGGATGGCCACTTGAATTGCTCCCTGCTTTGTGCTCACGCACACGTGCTGCCTTACGTGGGGTGGCGCACACCGTCCCGTGCACATGTGAAAGCTTCCCTAGGAATCGCACCTGTGCGAGATGACTCGCCGGCGTGTAGGGAGCTCGCTCCTCAGCTCTCCTTGGCAGTGCCCCTCCTGCCGCAGGTGAGAACGTCTAGCGTTCTGAGTGCCTACCCGCACTTGACATCGTCAGAGCTTTAAATTTGTATTGTTCTGGGGCAGGTGGAGTGCCGCTCAGCCGTGATTTTAATTTTCATAAGTTTTGTTTTTTAATTGATGTGTCAAATAGTTTTTTGCAACCTTCCTTTGGAACATTTTTTGTTAAAAAAAATTTATTTTCAGCAACCATTTAATGAGTGCCTACTGCATGCTGAATTATTCTTCATCCTAGGTAATTAGTGGTGAACTAAAGGGGGACAGTCCCTGCTCTCACGGGAAGGTCACGGCGACTGCGTGACTGAACTTCAGGGAGAGGTGCACCAAATAAACACACTCAAAATCAGACTCACACATAGTCATAAATACAGCTCGTCTTGAGTGGTGTGACAGCAAAGGACGGGTGTTAAGAGAGAGGACAACAGGGAGACCTTATTTAGATTGGGGATCAGGGAAACATTTACACAAACCGAATGCGTAACCGTGGGAAAGGAGCGAACCCTTCAGGCATCCACAGGCAGCGTGACGGCCTGCCATGTATCACTGAAAAGCGTGATGGAGGTAGATAGATGCTTGTTCTTACAGGAAGATATTCACGACATGTTGTTAAATGAAAAAGCATTTGTCAAACGTGAAGGCACAGTATGATCCCATTTTTAAAAAAAGATTTTATTTATTTTTAGAGAGAGGGAAATGGAGAGAGGGAGAGAAACATCAGTGTGTGGTTGCCTCTCGCACGCCCCCTACTGGAGACCTGGCCTGCAACCCAGGCTTGTGCCCTGACTGGTGATCCAGCCGGCGACGCTTTGGTTCACAGGCCAGCACTCAATCCACTGAGCTGCACCAGCCAGGGCTGATCCTTTATAAAATTTTATGTTTATATGATTATCATGGGAGCTTTGGGAGCACTGTGTATAAAAATGGGTAGTGAGACTTCCAGGCACCTTCATGTCTTTTTTTATATTTTACAGAATTGCTTGCATATTTATCTTTTGCTTCATTGTAAACAGTGACAATGAGAATCCTGAAGGGTTATGCTTGTCTCAAAGGCACTATGTTTCACTCCCTGCTCTTTTTCTGCTGCCGCCAGCAACCCTTTCCTGAAGCAAATTTTACTGGAGGCCAGGTGTCAGTAAGAGGGTCAAAGTGGACTCCCACATCCAGTGAGCACCCCGAGGCCCGACTCCACTCCACGGGGCCTCCCCCAGGCACTCCGCCTCCCTGAAAGAGAGGTGCGCACATTTAGCCACACTTCGGGTTCACTTTACGCAACTTTCTGAGAAGCTTGAGCTCCATGAGTCTCAAAGTCTTTTCAAAGACTTTCTCGACAGATTTCCAATATTTCTGGACAGTCCAAGGAACTTTTAATGAGTCTCCTTATTCCTTCTGTGGGTCCAGACTCTTGCACATGTAGTTCCAGGCTCCAGCGGCTCAGAGAGCCACCTTTTACCCCAAGGCGGTGGCAGTTTTGTTCATCTTACCCCAGCCAGCAGGAAAACTGAGATCAGACAAAGTGGAGAGAGCTGGAAATACTGGGGAATATTGTTATTACTCGATAATAAACCGCAAGAAAACCTCTGGAAAGAAAACCAATCTTCATAGTATTTTTATGAGTCATATAAAAATCAGCGGTGAACCTACTTCAGTGCATTTTAGGAGTCCCATAAGGAAAGCGCCTTCACCCTGGTTCTTTGTAATTCCCCCGTCAACAAAAAAAGAATAATTAAAGAAATGTCCAGTGTATACTGTTTATGCAATCCTTATATTAGTAATTTTCCTTACTACAAAGGCTACTTGTATTTTTAATAAAATGTTGCCAGCTTTTTTGTTTGATCGCCCGACTTAATCAGGGGGAGCCTGGGGGCAGGCTTGCAGCAGGGGAGGGCTCCCAAGTATATTGAGAAAGATGTATCAAACTGGCAGCCCATCCCCCCAGCACCGGCTCTGAAGTTCTCGGAGCCGCAGCACGCGCTGCCTTCCCGGAGAAGCGGTCTGCCTTGCCGCTCGCGTGGCTGTGACTGGCGACGCTGTTGTGTAGAAGCTCATCAATTAAACATTTGAGGTTCAGCACATGCCATGGTAACCTTTTTGATCACTTTTCGGAGAGGAAAATGGGAAGGGATTTCAGCAAAAAAAAAAAAAAAAAAAAGTGGCTGAAAAGCTCGGTGAAGTCGATTACCGTGGAGGCAACGCTCTCATTTTCTCTCCTCACAGTTTTCAAGGTCCCGTGAAAAGATTGAAAAAGCCCTGAGTGCGGGGGACCCCTCCCAGTGTGGGTACGTGTCTTTGAATTACCTCAAGATCGTCCTGGACACCTTTGTACGCCGACTGCCAAGAAGAGTTTTCATCCAGTTAATGAAAAGGTAAGAGCCCCGTTGTTTCCTTGACGCCTTCCTCCCCAAACGTCAACCTCGAGGATGAGGAACAGCTTCATTTATTTTTTATTAATGTTTTGGGCTTTTTGCTATTGAAAATTTGAAACGCACGAGACAGTGAGGAGAAGCAGGGAAGGGCCCGCTGCCAGCCCCAGCGGTCAGCTGCCGCCCAGCGTTCCGTGCCCGCGCTGGCCGTTCCCCCACCGCCCCAGGGGGCTGGGGACAAGTCCTGGACACCATGTTTCCCCGAAAAGGCCTCACCGTGTCTCTCAAAGACAAGGATTCTTTTTAAAAACATGGTGAAAACACCGTTTTCACACCTCACAGAATTGTGGAGGATAACAATGAACATCCAATCAGGGTTCAAATTTAACTGATTGTCTCATATTTTCTTTATGGTTTATTCGAGTCAGGATCCAAGTAAGGTCTGCACATTTCAACTGATTGACTCACCACAAGTCTTCGTAATCTCTGGGCCCCTCTCCCTTTGCTGACTGTTTTCCTGGTGAGGCCTTCGTAGGAGAAGTCTGGGCTGTTTGTTACGTGGAGTTTCTTTTTGTTTTTTTATTTTATTTTATTTTAATTTATCTTTAGAAGGAAAGGAGAGAGGGAGAGAAACATCAATGTGTGGTTGCCTCTCGTGAGTCCCCTGCTGGGAACTGGCCTGCAACGTAGGCTTGTGCCCTGACTGGGAATCGAACTGCGATCGTGTGGTTTGCAGGCCCGCACTCCATCCACTGAGCTACAGCAGCCAGGGCTACGTGGAGTTTCTCCCAACGTAAATCTGACTGACTGCCCCACAGCAACGTGGATGTGTCCTCCTGTCGGCCCCCAGCCCCACGCGGATACAGACCCACGTTCAACCTGGGGCGGGCGTGCGTGGACAGGCGGTCTCTCTTTTCAGGACATCAGCAGCCGCGTGAGGTGGGGGGATGCGTGACTCTCCAGGGGCGCTGTTCCGCCTGGGCCATTTCTGCTTCTGCTGGTCGGAGCCCGCCCCAAACCGGAACCCCCTCCGCAGGGAGGTGGCAGCAGCGAGACACCATCGACACAGGAAGGCCAGGGTGTCCTTGGCTCTCACTCTTACTTACGCATCTTCAGAGTGAGTCGGTTTCCTAGCATCCTCCAAAAGTGAACGATGAGCAGTTTTTCTTAAAAAATATTAGTGTGACCCTGGCCAGGAGGCTTAGTGGGTTGGGTGTTATCCTGTACACCAAAAGGTTGCAGGTTCAATCCCCAGTGAGGGCGTATACATAGGTTGCAGGTTCAATTCCCGGCCGGGATGTGTACAGCTGGGGGCAACTAATTGATGTTTCTCTCTCCTTTCCTCTCTCTAAAATCAGTGAACATATCCTTAGGTGAGGATTAAAAACTGTTTACATATGGTATTATGAACTCAGGGATGTAAGCTTATTTGATGTGTCTCAGTCCATTAGAGTTGTTCTCACTGACAAGCGGTCTGTTCCATCTTGGCCAGTGGGGACCTTTTGGCGTTGGCCTGAGTCCTGCTGATGTGACCCTCAGAGCCCCCGGCAGCTCTCTGGCTTCCTGTGGACAGTGCTGCAGGCGGCCCGGGCACATCCCTCGCCCCCACCTGGAGGCAGCCATTTCTCCAAGGAGCCCTGTTTCCTTTCGGTTGGAACCTCACTCTGGGTGAGGAACACTGCCTCGCAGGGGCCTGGTCCTCTGCCCGGGTGACTCGGGGGACCTTTTCTCAGGAGTGGCACTGAAGCTAATGGGAAGACCGTCCTGTGAAACTCCAGTCACTGCGGGGCACCACGGGGCTACCCTGGTGCAGGGAGCGGGGAGAGCAGCACTGAGCCGGGCCAGCGGGGCCACCCCCGCGGCAGCCCTCCTTCTCAGCGCCCGCGTGCTCGGAGTCACCGCGCGGGGCCGCACGGCCTCTGCAGCGGAAGGGAGTCTGGCCCTGGGGTATTCCCGTGGGGCAGCAAACAGCTTTATCATCCTGCCTGTGCATGGGAAGGATTTGTAGGGGTGACTTTCTTGGATAACTAAAAGTTATATAGACATTTTTAATTTCATTTTCAGAATTGTACAAATAATAATTTAATAGTAATAAGAAAAATGAGAGACAAACATCACCATCCACCTTACATAACAAATTTACTGTTTTCATTTTCCTACAATTCTGTTCCGTTTGTATCCACATAGATATATAATTTTTACATATTTGTAATACAAGCATATCTACAGTTTTATGTTGTGCTTGTAAAATAGGAATGCATATTACAGACATTCTTCATATTGTCTTCATAGTCTTCCAAATTATAATTTTAATGGATACATACCGAGTGTGTCTCTCTGCCAGACATTGGGGGCGGTGCCGAGAACGCAGCCGGAAACGACAAACAGCCCAGGCTTGTGGGGCTGACAGAACGGAGGGGGCTCCGAAGACTCTGACCTGGGCTGGAGTGGGCGGATGGAGGGCCAAAGACACCAGCTCCAGGCTGTCCCGATGACCCGGACTAGCCAGGGTCTTCGGACTCGTGCCCTTGACCCCACTCACCCAGACTGCCGGTGGGACAGGCACAAGAGACTGTAGCAAGGTGGGTGCCCAGGCGCTGACGGTGTGAGCTGCGAATCCAGTGTGTCCCCTGGTGCACGGCACTGGGAGAAAAGCTTCCCACATCTATTCAGCTAATCCCCGAATAGTCACCCCTTTTCTCCCTCTGACTTCCGTGCCCCTCCTCGCCCGCTTGGTGTTAGAACACCCGTAACAGCCTTTTCTGATCAGTATCTGTCAGGTACATCTCTCCCCAGCCTTTACTTTTGTTCTTTGGTTGTCATGTTCTGGGCGTGTGTCTTCTAAAATAGCAAATACCTGTGCTTTCACAACTCCCAGATGAGCATCTCTGCCTTTCTAATGGTGAAGTCCAGTCTGTTTCCATTTACTGTGGTGGCTGTTGGGGACTCTCCCACCACTTTATCTCAGACTCTCTCACTCTGCTGTCCTTTCGAGTCCTTCTCGGTCAGGTTTGGGTCTGAGTTTTCCTTATCACTCTTCTTTTCCTCTCCACTGCCTTGAGACTTAAATATTATAGTTCTGTTCTTGTAGAGAGTACCCTTAAATTTTTAGCATATTCTAAACTGATAAAGCATAAAGTTAATATTTCTGCTGTCATGAGTAAAACGAGCACCTTTAACTTACATGTTACCGTTGCCTAGTGCTTTGATCCTGCCCCCGTTTAAAAAATCTTCACTCAAGGATATTTTTATTGGTTTTAGAGAGAGAGGAAAGGAGGGAGATAGAGAGAGAGAGAGGAACATCGATAGAGAGAGACATTGATCAGTTGCCTCCTTCCTGTACATGCCCTGACCAGGGACCGAAACTGCAACCTTGGTATGTGCTCTGACCGGGAATTGAACCTGCAACCTTTTGGTTTTATGGAGGACCCCAACCCCTGAGCCACCTGGCCAGGGCCTGCCCACACCGTGCGGTGTCCTCGCGTGCACCCCGAGTCTGCTCCTCGGCCTCGTCTCTGGACCCCGTCTCCTGAGGGGCCTTGGTGAGGCCCCGTGCGTGGGGAGTGCAGACTGCGTTCCAAAGTGTCCATTTCCCCTTACTCCTTAAGGAAGATTTACAGGGAAAGGATCCGTGTCTGGGCTGTTTTCTCTGAGCACCTTGAAGCTGTTGTTTGCGGGGTTCTGGCCTCTCTTCTTGCCACTGAGAGTCTGCTGTTTAGCGCCGACACTTTGTAAAAGGCTAGTTTTTCTGGTTGCCTTTACGATCGATCTTCTCTTTATTTAGACTGCAGTGTCCCTGCAGTGCGCCTGGGTACAGATGTCCGTTTATTTAACCCTCCTGTCTCACTCTGAGGATTCGTGTCTCTCACGGACTTGAGAACGTTCTCGGCTCTCATGCTTTGGTCATCGTCCCCACCGCGTTGCCCAGGTCTCCCGTCTGGTGTGTGCTGGACCTTCTCGTCCACTTGCCGCGTCTCCTAGACTCTCTGGTGTCCCATGTCCTTGTCTCTCTGGGCTGCAGCCCTATAATCCGCTCAACCCCAGGTCTCCCCACCCCAAGTGGGCATGACGGCAGACGCGGACCCGGGGAGGCCACGGCACCCACGCGCCTTCCTGCGGCTCTGGAGCTGGCTCCCTCCTGGCCTAGCGCCTGCGCACAGCCCCCCCCGGTTTCCGCTTCAGCTGTGTGTGTAGAACGATTTCGAGATATTTACTCCCGCCGTTGTAGGTATAGTTGGTACGTTTCCATGTGATTAGACCAGGAGGTTGGGGGAGATCCACTGTGTCGCTGGAGATCTTACCCTCATGCCCTCCTGCGAGCAGGGCAGTTAGAAACGTCTCCAAGGAGTAAGCGGAACCCGGCGGAGCCAGCGGGGAGCGTGCTCGGGAGCTGCACGTGGATGGTTGGAGAGCACACGGCGTTCTCAGAGGCGCTGCTTCCGTTGGGGCCGGACCGACTTTGGGGCTCTTCTACTGTACCCATCAGAACGTATCCATTTTATCATCATGTGAGTGTTCAGGTTCTAGTTTTTCATGTGACTGTTCATTCATTTGTTCAGTCTAGTCAGTCAACAAGTAGTTCTTGAGCGCTCGCTGGGCACCAGGCTTGTGCCAGACACCAGGGACTCGTGGGACAGACAGTGAGGGAGACACCGCCCTGCCCTTGAGGGGCTCAGCAAGCGTGTGGTTACTGAGCTCAGGTGTGTGGGGTTAGGAGCGGTGGGGAGACGCGGCAGGGACTGTCATGGAGAGTAACGGCAGACTCAGACTCTTCCAGAATGGCGGGGTAAGGCCTCTCTGAAAACTCGAGGTTTAAACCAAGGCCTGAGAAGTTGGGGGAGCAGCCGTGGAAGAACCTCCCCAGGGGGGCCTGGCCTAGGTGTTGCCCACACAGTGTGTGTGTTCTGGGCCTGGCAGAAGCCAGTGCGTCTGGAGCCGAGGTGAGGAGGAGAGGCCGGCCTGGCCAGGGGCCCTTGGGGTGGAGTCAGGGCCGGGTGCTGGGGACACATGGCTCTTCCCTTTGGCAGGCACCTGCCTCCCTCAGAATGTCTTTCTGAAAGCCGAATTCAAGGCCAGAGTGTGGAGGCTTTTGTGAATTTTTATGAGGATTGCAAAATTATTCTCCAAAAGCGTGGTTTACAGTGCCACTGACATTTGTGTGACTATTCTAGTTCCGTTTCCTTTCCAGTGTGAACGTCCACATCGTTTTAGAATATTGATAACCGAGGGGATCAAAATGGTGCCTCGGTATTGGCTTAACTCATCATTTTTGAAGTGACACTGAGGTCGCCATTTCCCGAGGCCGGGCCCTGCTGTGTCTCCCCAACGGGAGTCTCCTTGTGCCCCAGTCACCTAATGGCTCCACCGGCGGTTTTTAAATCGGTGTTACCAATTGTTTGATTAGCCCAGGGCTGTCAGACTCGTTGTCGCTGGGGCCGCGTCGGCCTTGCAGCTGCCTTCAAAGGGCCAGATGTAATTTCAGCTCCTTAACTGTTGAGGAGTAGCTAGGTTTATGCAGTCCTGAAATTGTTTCGGCCCTGTGAAGGCAACCGCGAGGCTGATGTGGCCCCAGTGACAATGCATCTGACACTCCCAGTGTAGCCGGTTTTTAGTAGGTCGATAACCGGGCGCAGGTGCCCGCCCGCAGAGGCGCTGCGGCCATGTCCCCCGGCCCGCGGGCCCCCTCCTCGTGCGCGGTGGCTCTTCACTTGAAGTTGCATTTTAATAGAATCAAACACATTAATCTCCTTCTTTTGGAATGTCTTCTGTGGCTTAAAAATCTGTGAATTCATCATCCTTACCCAGGCTTGAAAAAGACTTTCTACTCTGTTTCTTATTTTTTATTTTTTGAAAACAAAACAAATCACTTTATAATCCATTCTGACAGAAGGTGGGTATCCAAATCAAAGTTTTTTCCAAATAGGTAATCTGCTTGATCATCACCAGTTATTAAAGAACCCTTTCTTTCCCTGTTGTTTGCCATGTCTCCTCTGTCAACTTTAAATTCTTACTCAGGACTCCGTCGGCGGAGTGCTTCCATCCCCGCCCCTGCCCCCGCCCTTGCCCTTGCCCTCGGGAGCTCCACTGCACATGGACGGACGGATGGACGGACGGACAGACAGATGACGGAAGGGTCTCCGTGGGGCTCTGTGCGCAGCAGCCCAGCCTGCGGCCCTCTGACTCCCCGTCACGCCTCGAGAGAGCACACGGGCTCCCCACACTGTCACAGCCAGGGTGGCACCTGTGTCCTGAATTTAGATGGTCATTGTTAAGGACCCCCACAAATTATGTGCCTCCTAAGAGGGCATCCGCTACAGTCTTCCATGCAGCCGTTGTTCTGGGAGGCGTGAGCCCGAGCTGGGGCCAGTGTCAGCACCGAGCGGCACCGCATGGCCCTGGCCCCGATGTCCCTCTTTTCTTTGCTCCCCTGTAATGCCCCGCACACCAACAAAACCACAGGAATAGAGGAGAGATCCGTGCTTTCCAGGCCGAGGGGCCGGGCAGGTGTGACTCAGAGGGGCGCACAGGGGAGGGGTGGCTGGCGGAGCTCTGCTGCGTCCAGAGCGTGGGCGTGACTCGCATCTGCAGGCGCACCTGGTTACGCTGTGGGCTTGGTTCCAGCTGCTGTGCCACGGTAAAGCCGGTCACTTCCCAGTTGTAAAAGCGAGTATTTGTGGGGCGCAATGGCATGAGGTGTCCCTGTGTATGTGTTAAAACTTATAAAACTGTACTCTGAAAGAACAAGTCCATTTTACTGCATTTTAATTTAAGAAATAAAAATTTAAAACACATGCTGTTTTAAGGCAAAAAATACAGGAAATAATAAAGAGGGAAGTAAAAATCTAATCTCTTATGCCTAGCAAAATGATCTGAGAAATTAGTCTTAGTATGCAATTTAAAAATGGGTGTTACAGAAAAAAATTGGCATCGTTTAAGTTTGTTATTCTTTTAAATACTCAAGGTCTAGGGCCGAAATGTAAAACACTAACAGCTTGGTAATGAGGCATAAAATCTTAATCCTAACAATATTTTAGAGACTTTAAAAGCTGTTTTCCATCTATACTTTTTAGTGTAACAGTAGACTTTAATTGAATAGCTAATGTGACCTTTATTACCAACATGCTGTGCTTTTTGCATGGCCTAGCCTTTCATACAAAACAGACCCGTTAAAAATAACGCCAGTCTTTGAACGGGGAGAGCGAGGCTTCGGGAGGAGCTGACAGGAGGGAGGGAGTGCCCTGCCCGCTCCCACCTTCACCTGAGACTGCCTCACCCACCCGAGGTGGGGCGGGCCTTCCTGCAGTCACAGCTCCTGTTGAGAAGTTCCCGCCCACGCCGGTGCCTTGACGGAAAATATAAGCCTTTTAGCCCAGATGGTAGGAAGTGTAACAGCCACACCCTGGGATGGGTTTCCAGTTATTGGCCTTTTCAGCTTGGAGTCTAAAATCTCTCGTACGTCTGTGCCGTTCTGGAAAAGGCCAGGTCGGCAGTTGCTGGCAGTAGGGGTGGGGGGGCGGTGTGACTCCAGAGGGGTACAGGAGTGGGGGGCTGGGTGAGGGCTCTCTTGCTCCGGGGTTAAGTGAAATCAGTAGTCGGGGGAAGCCGCGGTCTCTCCTAGGCCTGAAGGGGCACAGGAAGGCACAGTTACTGGACACCTGTGGCTGAAGGAGAGGGTCGCCCAAGAGCAGATGAAGCCTGCAGAGGAGAATGTGGCCCGGCCCAGCAGGGAGGGACCAGGGAATGACCCACCTGCCCACCTTGCCTTCGAGCTGCTCCTTCCCCTTCCATCTCCTGCAGGCGCCTCCCACTGGCCAACCCAAGAGCAAGCCGAGGCGCCAGAGGCCAGCTGAGGCCACCCATAGGGCACCATTCAGAGCAGACAAGGGCAGACACTGATCTAGGTGGACAGAGGAAGACTATCCCATGGGACCTGCTGTTTGGAACCTCAACAGCCATTCGGGATGAAGCAGATGGCGGTGTCTCCCTTCCCCCCTTTGCAGTTGGCTTCCCTTCTCCTTCTGCCAACCCAGTTTCTGACTCCTCTGGGAACTGGAGTGCACAAGGGAAGGAGAGAAGTAGGGGGCGGGGGGAAGTGTGAAAGTTCCCCCTGACTGGTGCGCTCTGAGCTGGAAACTGCAACTCTGGGCCTGACGAGGGTCAGAAGGCTTCTCCTTTCCTGAGAGCCTTGGCCCGGTTTTCAGATTTCATGTGGGGATGCATCGCTCCTTCTTTGATGAGGGCAAATGCTCGTCCCTTTCAGCTCAGTGCTGGCTTCCTCCATGGCTCCTGGCAATAGAGAAGGGAGACTTCGGGTGAGGTTTGTTGGCTCCTCCAGGTAGCCGTCTTGGGCAGGAGCTGAGGTGACCCCCGGTTGGCCATGCACACACACCTGCTGTCTTCCCTGTGGCCCCTGACCAATTGACATGGAATCATTCCTCTCTCAGCCGCACCTGTTTCAGCAACCAAAACAGGGCTGTTTGCCTCATGGCCACTTGGGCATCTCATATTTGTTGTCCACAGAGCTCAGCACAGACATCCCCTGCCACCCTGCTACAGAAGCACGGGGCGTGCTCAGTGTGTGAGCAACACAGGACAGTGGGGACCCAGTACTGCAGGAGGGGCGTTTCGACCTGCTAGCTGTAAGCCACGGGTGTCTGACCTTTTGGTGTCGCTGGGCCACACATTAAATACACTAATGAAAACTGATGAGCAAAAACAAGGTTTTAAGTAAATTTACGATTGCGTTGGGCCACATCTATAGCCTGCACACATAGGCTACACTCGGCCCACGGGCCTCGGGTCGGACGCCCCCATGCCCTCCTGGTGAAGGGCTAGGTTGGACCACCTGGACACCCAGGCTGCTTTCCCTCCCATCCCGGGGTCTGTACCCTTAGTCACACCTGCACAGTCCTTTCTGCCACCAAAGTCCCATCTTCACAGTCCCGGCGAGGATGTGGACACTGCCTGGGCTTTACTCTGCCTACACGGTAAATGGGCTCCTCACACAGTGAGTCTGAAGAATTGTTTCAGGGACAGGAGAATTTTAATCAAATCCCTGTTTCTTCTCTCAGCATGTGCTCTGGCCGTTGGGAGGTGGAGACACGGGGATGCAGAGTCAGCTTGATCTTCCTTGCTTTTTAAAATCAATTTGTAGTATGACTTTACTAAATTATTTTGTTTACCTTAGATTTGGAAATTTCTGAAAACTCATTGCTGCCATTTAAGATTCCATATCGAACAACTAATCCATGCAAATGTTTCAGAAATAATGTTTGAACATTTTTTTAAAATCCAGATTTGGGCTTAAAACCACCAAGAAAATCAATTGGAAGCAATTTCTAGCATCACTGCATGATCCTCAGTGGACAGAAGTTAACAACACAGTTCCCCTGACAAGAAAAATGTGGTAGGTAAAAATGAAACTCCTAAACTTTGGTTGCAGAGATCTTAATATGTAAAAGGAAAGAGATTATCTGAATTACTTTTCCTTCCTTTATTGAATGACAAATTAGTCTGCAGAGAATAATTATGAACTTTCACATAGTGATTTGCATTTATAAATTTCTATACATTCTTACTTAGAATTAACTTAAAGCTATAAGGCAGGTATGATTATTATTCTAACTTTTAGATGAAAAAAATGAGACCACGAGGAGTCTTAACGAGGTCCTGGGCTCGGAGAGCGGCGGGGGCGGAGCCAGCGCTCTGAGCTGGGGCCGCGTGTGCGCACAGAGTCACGCCAGCACTGACTCGGGCCGCACGTGCACCCTCCGCCCTCGTAGAGTTGGGTGTGAGCGCGTGTCTGCGACGTGTTCCGTGGGAGGAGCAGTACAGGTCAGCTGATCTTCCAGCCACTCTGCGGGGACGGACGCTGTGGGCCGCGGGGTTACTGCCTTGAGTGCCGTTTTTCCTGAGTGTTCTAATTCCTATTATAATTTTATTGGCTGGTTTATTTTTAGAGAGAGAGAGAAACATCGACTTGTTTTTTTCACTTATTGACGCATTCATTGTTTGATCCCAGTATTCGCCCTGACCGGGGATCGAACCCTCAAGCTTGACCTATCTGGACGACGCTCTAACCAACTGAGCCACCCGGCCAGGGCCAATTATAACTTTAGATTAGCATTGTCATATAAATTGTAGTGGGGGCCCTGAACTCTGAGAAGTACCTCACAATATGACACTTTGGAATTTAGGTCTGAGAAGTGTTTTGTCTGTACTGTTGTGCAGCCGGCATCGACTGCCCGTACAAATCACAGAGAAAAAGCTTTATGACCTCAGCACGTTCCCGGGAAGCGCTGGGTCCCACTGCCCTAACACATGTAGCACAGGCCGAGTCCCCATCCCTGGGGTCCGAGCTGTGTCTTGGGTGTGTGCACATCGGCGACCTGCCCGGTCGCCGGCCTCCCCATGCTCACGGGGGGGGGCACCTGTGTGAGTTCATCTCTTCAGTGACGTTACTCCTGTTATCTTTGTAGTTTTCTGGTAGCACCATGTCTGCGGAGTGGTAGACCACGTGAATGGAAATGTGAATTTTGTTTACTTGGAAGCAGTGGTTTCCAGCTGGGGGCAGTCGGGGCTGCCCAGGAGATATTCAGCAATGTCACGAGACATTTTTGGTTGTCCCAGCTGGGGTGGAGGTGCCCTCCATATTTAGTGCGTGTGGCCAGGGAGGCCGCTCATTATTGCACCGTGTCCCAGATATCACCCCCACCACTCACACCCACACACACGTGCGCACATAGGAACTCCCTTCAGCAATTCCTCTACTTTAGTTTTCTGAAAAGCGGTGGTAAGGGTGTATGTGCTTGTGTGTTTTTGCACAACTGGAAACAGTAGGTGGCTTAGAGGTGTTGCCCTGAAGCCCCCAACACACCCAAGCCGTGTAGAGCCAGTGAGCTGATCACTCATTCTTCAGTTAGTGGGGGACGTCGGACGGTCTGAGCGATACTGAGTGATACTGAGCAGAGCAGCGTTTCACTATGAGATGCTGCAGCCCCTTTCTGACCCAAGTGCATAGTGCGCTGGCCTTGACCTCCAGCTCGGGCGACCTTAGGCTCTCAAGGCTGCACCGTGGCGGTGGGCCTGGCGAGGGATTGTGAGGGTCGGGTGCCCTCCGTCCTCACGTGGGCGAGTATGCGGCCCGGAGCGGGGCAGCAGCCTCGGTGGGACCGTGCCGTCTTTCCTGGTCCTTTTTGGGACCAAGGCCCACACTGACAGGATGGCCGATCGCAGCTGACGGCAGGGGAAGAAGAGAGGGCAGCACACGGAGCGGGCCGTGGCGGGCATACCACGCCCCCTCCCTCCCTAGTGTCACCCTGACCGAGGGACGAGGGGCCACACTCTCGCAGGACACTTTCAGGACAGACTCGCCCCCAGGGAGCCGTCACTGTACTTGCTGTGGTGTGCGTTTTTCTTCCCATTAAGAAAGAACTGTGCAAGAACATAATCTTATTTCTGTTTTTTTTTTTCCTTAATCATCTTGCTGCACTGACTCCAAAAGTCAACTTCGCAAGGAAAACGTGATCACCAAGTTGTTCGGGCACGGAGACCACCACACGTCACTGAAGAAGGCTCTGCTGGTCATCAACAGCGTAAGGCTTGGGAGCCCTTCTCGGGGGGACGTGCGAGGAGGGCTGGTGTCGTGGTCAGAAGGAGAGCAGTGGGCAGGCCGTGTGTCTGGTCACTGCTCCGCCGCAGACCTGTTTGGAGCTCCCGCTGTGCGCTGGGAGCTGTTCTGAGTGCTCAGGAGCCTCAGACGGGGTCTCCAGGGCGGGGCCGGTTGGGAGGCCAGGTGACCCGAAGGCCTTAAGGTGCAGGGAGCCACCTGCCGGGGCAGGGGGGAGCAGTGAGCGGCCGGGGCGTTACAGATGGAGGGACCAGTCACCACTGACTGTTGAACTCATGAGTCATCCAGACCCATTGAACCTTCCCCTCAACCGGGAGTTCAGGTTCATAACCGCCTCATAGCCCATTGCAGGGATGTCGTCTTGGCCCTGGGACAGCCTGTTCGGTCGTTTGATTGCACGTTTGATTGCACTGCAGAGGGTGGCCGCTGCGTGAGTTTGCGCCTTGCTTTAAACCATTAGCTCCTGTCCCACTTTTATGTATATTTTAGAAAAGCAGCCTTGGTGCATTTTTGATATGTAGGCGACATTTCTCAAGTTCATTGTTTACTGAGCCCATTCAGTAAGTGAATCTCTAATAAATAACCAGCACTGCAGTGAATGATTTTCCCTCATGTACGAAGGAGGAGCTACTTGGCCTCCAAGTCACGATGCCTCCAGAGCCTACTGCTGAGGCAGGAGCAGGCTGCTCAGAGGAGCGGCGCCCGGGCTAGGAGCCCCTCGGGACCTGGAGGGGCTTCAGGTTGCGAGGTTTGCACTCTGAATGGGTCATGGCAGCCCCTCACCTCACAGTCTAACACGCCGTTGCTTGGGGTTTTCCAGCAGCGTGTGGATTCAGAGATTCAGGGTTCTGTTTTCTGTTGGGGACATCTCAGTGGGCATACCTGTTGTCATGAGTCCTTAGGCCTAATATGGCTCAGCCTCTCTGAATGTGCCAGGCACTGTCTGAAGCGACAAACTGGTTTTCACAACACGTCTGTGAGGTGGACGCTGTTACCATCTTCACACAATGCTTCTGTCTCATTCTCCTTTGCTGGGGAAGGGGAGCAGGGTGGGTCACACCTGAGGCCCCCAGCTCATGAGTGGTGGGGCTGGGATTCAAACTGGCCGCCCCAGCACAGGCACCAGCAGCCCTGCCCCAAGCTGTCCACGTCCACAGTTTGCTAGCAGGGGCTCCCTTAAAGATAAATAAGTCTTTGTGTGCTCACCCACCTCAGCTTCTATTAGTAAATTTAAGAAGTAATGTAATTAAAAGTGGGAAATCTGCCTCTCTGTTCACGGAGGGTTGTGGTAATGCTGATGCTGCAAATATGAGACCATTGGTCAGTCATTGCTGGGCCGTGCAGCTGGAGAGCAACAGAGGCATCATGGAGGTGAGGACGCCGGGCCCACCCCATGCAGGGCCCCCTCGGGCACAGAGGCTGAGCACATGGGTGGGTGATGGCCAGTTCTTGCCCATGTGAGCTCACACGCTCAGTGCCACAGACAAGCAGCGGCCATCGAATGCCTTAGAGGTGCAGAGTGCACGGCTTCCAAGTAGGATGGCCCACGCTCCACGTGCCTGGGTCTTGGCCACGTTCTGGCCCCTGGAAGGAGAAGGAGCAGAAGGAGGGACGAGGAGGGGGCGGGGCGGGCACCTGGCCTGGCTGCAAGGACAGCCACGAGAAACAGGTCCGTCTCCTGGTGCAGAATCGTTAGAAGACCACTTACATCTCCGAGTCCTGCATCCCAGGCAGCTGTAGGCGCCGCCTCCGCACGCTGCTGCCGTCTCTCCTAGTGGACCCAGTCACTCATGTCACAGTCAGCTGTGGCCCCCTGTCCACCACCCAGAAACCGTCTGTACCCCGTTGATCCACCTACTCTTATTTTCAGTTCACATGATTGTGTAAACAGAAAGTTTAAAAGAATCTCCAAAAATATAAGGATTAATATTAGAATTTAGAGGGGCATCAGCTACCTACCATGTACAAGGTCAACACACAGTGATCAATATTATTTCTATGTACTGCGAGAGGCAATTAGAAAAGAAATTTTTAAAGCATTGTTTCTAATAATATTTAAAAAATCAAATACTATGAAATATATCTGACAAAAATTGGCAAATTCTCTATGTCAGAGATTACAAAGATGGGTAATAGAAATCATACAAACTCTTTACAAACTTTGAGAACTTAGAGGAGGAAGGGACACTTCCATTTCCTTCTCTGAGGCCAACATTTCCCTGACACCAAGGCCGGGTAAGGGCATCACAAGCAGAGAAAACCACAGTGCAGTGCCCTTCGGGCATCAGCAAACCAATCCCAGAAGCTCATAAAAAGGATGCTCTGCCCACGTGGGACTCATCCGGGGATCTCAAGGTCTCGTCAACCTCCAAGATCAATCAATGTAATGCACAATAAATAGAAATAAAGACAGAGCTGCACAATCATCTCAACAGATGAAGAAAAAGTGTTTGAAAAACTCAGCACTCATTCATGATAACAACTTTCAAGAAACTGGAAATGGTTGGGAACTTCCCAAGCCCGCTCAAGGCGTTCGTGAGAAACTCATAGTGAACAGTACAAGACGACAGGCGGAGCAGGTGAGGGCGGCTCCTGCTGCTTCCACTCGACCTCGTGCCGGGACTGCCGACAGCAGGCAGAAGGGAAAAGGGATAAACGGCATTTGGAGGGGGAAGGAAGAAGCGAGCCTGTCTGCATTCACATGCCATGTGTCTCGGTCATAGAAAATTCTAAGCAATGTGTGCGCGCACACACACACACATGAGTGGCCGGAACTAATAAATGACTTCAAGGTTGCAGGATCTGAGGTCAATATGCAAAAGCCAGTTATGTTTGTATAAACTAGCTGTATACAATCAGAAAATGAATGTCAGAAAGCAATTTCTTTCCCAATTGCATCAAAAGAGAATAAAATACCTAGGGGCAAATTCAACAAAACAAATACCAGACTCATACACTGAAATTTACAAAACACACCCTGGCTTGTGTGGTTTCAGTTGGCCGTTGTCCTGCGAACCTATAGGTCATAGGTTCTATTCTCAGTCAGAGCCACCCCTGAGTTGTGGGTTTCGTCCCAGTCTGGGCACATCTGAAAAGCAACCAATTAATGCTTCTCTCTCATATTGATGTTCCTCTCCTTTTCTCTTTCTCTCTCTCATTTTCCTTTTCTCTAAAAAAATATACGAAACATTATTAAAAGGAAAAATAGATGTAAATAAATAAAGAGACTGTCCTTATATGTGGCTTGGAAAACTCATTATTACAATTGCAGTTCTCTCCAAATGGATCTACAAATTTGATGCAAACCACATCAAAACCCCAGCTGACTTTTTTTTGGCAGAAATTGAAAAACATTTTAAAAATTCATACAGAAATACGAAGTTTGCAGAATAGCCAAAACAGTCTTGGAAGAGAAGAATGAAGTTAGAGTACTTAACTTCCAGGCTTGGAATGTTGGCATAAAGCTACAGCAGTAAAGGGAGAGGTGTGCTGGCCGGGGGGTAAGGGGGCGGACACAGTGGCCCCCGGGGGAGGACCGAGAACAGGGTAGCACACCCTTCCTCGGTGGTCAACTCAGGTTTGACAGATCCACTGGGGGAAGGAATCATCTTTTCAACAAATGGTGTTGAGACAGATATCCATGTGCAAGAAGACAGATGACCTTACATCATACACAAAAGTTAATTTAAAGTGGACCCTAGACCTAAACGTGAGAGCTAAACCAGTAAAACTCTTCGAAGACATGCATAATCTTTGTAAGTTGTGTTAGGCAAAGATTTCTTACATAGGACACTAAAAGCATGATTCGTTGAAGAAAAAAATCAATAAATTAGATTTATCAAAATTTAAAACTTCTGTGCTTCAGCAGATATCGTTAAGAAAGTGAAGAGGCCACAGACTAGGAGCCAATATGTGTAAGTTACGTACCTGGTGAAGGACCCATATGTGGAATATGTAAGAGCTCTCAGAACTTAATAAGACAACCCGATTTAAAAAACGGGCAAAAGATTTTTATAGACAATTCACCAGAGAAGATATGGGCATGGCCAACAAGCACACAAAAAAATGCTGAACATCATTAGACATTCGGGAAATGGGAGTCAGGCCACAGCGAGACACCGCTTCCCATTTGGTGATACATGGCTGTGCTCCACCCACTCGGACAATAGTAAGTGCTGGTGAGGACGGGACTCTAAGACGGCTGCAGGGAGTGTAAAACAGAGCAGCTACTGCAGAAAACAACACTGTCGTTTCTTTAAAATTTAAACAGCAATTTACCATACGACCCAGCGAATCTACTCCCAGGTATCTGCCCGAGAGAAATAAAAGCATATGCTCACACGGAGACTTGCCTGCAAATGTTCATAGCACGTTAATTCATAATCCCCAAACTGGAACCAACCCAAGTGCTCATCCACTTGTGACAAAATGTACAGAGAGTGGCGTTTCCATACGATGGAATTGTAGCCGGAATAAAAGAGAGCAAAATGCGGATCCAGGCTACACCATGGATGAACCTCAGAGACATTATGCAAAGCGATGGAAGCCAGATGCAAGACACGTACAGATGCATATGTTGTAGGATTTTATTTACATGGACCATCCAGGGAAAGGCAAATGTGGAGAGACAGACAAGAGACCATTAGTTCCCTTAGTCTGGGGATGGAAGTGGGGAGTCACTGCGTGTTGGCACAAAGTTTCTTTTGGGGTGAAAATGTTTGGAGATCAGGGGTGAGGATGGTTGTGCACTGCTGTAAATTTACTGAAAATCACAGAAAATTAATTGCCAATGACTCCTGTGTAGACGCTAAAAAATCGTCACTTTGGAAGCCAAAGATAAGCGTACCCAAACCCTCTAGATTACTTAGTTTTCCCAGGAGAGCCTTCTGTCCTTTTCAGACTTTGGACCCCAAAGTAAGAGCTTGTCTATTATTCATAATAGCTTTCTATGAGGCACGGGTTCTTTATTTCCCCTGTTTTTCTAGTTACCAGTGCCTCTCAGTTTTGTTAGTTAATTTACTTACTGGTGATGCTTTGTTTTGTGTTTTCAAATTCTGGAGGGGAAGCTTGCCTGTCCATATTTTGCTCCTACTATGTTTCTTTGAGGCAGCAAGGCTGACATTTTTCTTGATAAGTAATTGTCCATTTACATAATAGCTGAGGTTGGTGATCGTGAAAAACAAGCATAATTAATATCCTTAGTTGTAAGTGAATTGCCGGGAAGTTTCATGTCCCTTGCGGCTGAGCCACGTGGCCCTGGCCCTCGGGTGGGGTTGGGGCAGGAAGGGCTATTCAAGCCTTCCATGACAACCAGCTGTTAGCCTGTCCCGACGGGGTCAGCCTTTGGGGCTAAAGGGGCTTCCTTCCTCCCTTGGGGCCGTGGGCCGCCTCGTCCTCATAGAGAACACCCTGGGGGCTGCCCTTGCCAAGTTCTGGCCGCCCCCCGCCTCCCGGGGCTGCCGGCACACGGGTTCTGTAAAGGTCGTCCATTGAGGTTCTCCAGTTTCCTAGCATAATTCTGTTTAGCCAAAGCTCGAGGTCTATTAAGCAGTGCTGAATATATATAATGCTTTTCCTTCCTTTTTTCTTTTTAAAAATCCCCTTAAATGCACTCTCATGCCCAGAAAGCAGATGGACAGATGAAAGGGGAGGAACTGCGGCACATCCTGAACTGCATGGTGGGAAAGTTGAGCGATTCAGAGTTCGGGGAACTGATGCAGATGCTGGACCCCGGGGGCACGGGGCTGGTCTCCGTGCGCGCGCTCACCCAGCTGCTCGAGGAGGCCCCTCTCGTAAGTTTTACAGCAGCTCCCAGTCTGCATTTCTCTGTCCGCGGAAACTCAGCGTCCTTAGTGCAGTCGGAGGTGCTGGTGAGTGCGGTTTGAAGAGACGCACGACTGCGCTTTGACTTTCTCAGCTGACCTAACTTTTAATTAAGGGTTAATTAAGTGTTGAAGAGTGCTTCGATTTGGACTTCTAGCTTCTAAACCGGGCCGGGGGCCACTTGGTGTTTCTGAGAACCTGTCCCCAGCTGAGACTGCCTTCACCTGCAGAGGACAGAGCTTGCTTTCTGGGAGCGGGCAGCCTCGCACAGCCGGGTCTCACTGCCCCACCGGCCGGGCGTGAGCGGCTCCTCCGGTTTCCGTCCGTAGTTTCAGAGCTTGAACGTTAGTTCACCTTTTACTTACATAATGACTGCTTATTGCCTCTAGTGACTAACACTTGCTTTTAATTTTTGTTTCTTTTGACTGAAAATGGACGCAGTTGATCATTAGAAATGCTTCCATAACTGTAATAGCTATTAGCATTTTTAGATTTTAACAGGTTTTAAAAAGTCTGGTTAGTTTCCCCTCCACGCCTGCTCCCTGGCCCCCCAGAGGTGGTCCCCGCCCACCTGCCCTGCCCCCCCGCCGAGTCTGCAGGGTGTCCAGTTGTCCAATATTATTATTCCTTGTGGACACTGCACTTGACCTTCTTTTTCATTTTTCCCACGCTGACGGGCGAAGAAAGTGCTGTCTCCTCCTGTCACTTCTCATTCACCCAATTTCTAGGTGATGGATTTTTTCATGTCTATTGTACTTTGAAACAATAAGTGCAAGTTCAACGTTCTTATTCCCATTTCCAGATGGGGATCAGAGGGCAGACTTGCTTGCTCAAGGTCCCAAAGCCGTTAGCTGACCAGGGGCAGAGCTGACCAGCACGTGGGAAGACCCCAGAGCTCCTACTGCCTGTATGAGCCACTGGGGTCTCCGTACTCTCTCTTTCGCAACCAGACAGGAAAGCCGTCCTCCTGTGCAGACTCAGGGATGCTTCACCCACCGGCTCGGGACTCGGTAAGTAACGCTGCCCTCGGGGCCCCAGGGTGCCCCCGCCCAGGCCACACTCCTGCAGCCGGAAACACTCTCCTTTCTCGTCAGGTGGAAGCCATGGTCTGTGACGCCGTCGGCAGGAACGTGCAGGCCTTCCGCAGCATGCTGCGGTCCTACGACCTCGGCGACACCGGGCTCATGGGCGCCAGCGGCTTCAAGAAAGTCATGCACATATTCTGTCCGTGTTTAACGACGGAGCATTTAACAACGTAAGATTTTCGGTGCCGAGGCCAATTCCTGTCAGTTTTCCGTCACGTCCCCCTTTCTAATCCCACACCATGTGTAGGTCCTGGCTGGGCCCCCAGCTTCGCACAGTCTGCTGCAATGAGCGTGTGCAGTTGTACCATTAGGAAATAGTAACAAACACAGTGTCAAAAGAGAAGCAGGTCCGTTCTGTTGGTGGTTTCCTGGGTTTTTCTAAAATGTTGGTGTATGCCACACTTCCGGGGTGAGTACTTCCGTACCTGCGCAGCACATTTCTCATTTAAATTTTTGTTGACATTTGTTACATCTTTACAAACCATGAACCGCACGTACTTCCATGATGCAGTCTGAAGAAACCCACGGAGCGTGTGTGCCCGTGAGGCCGTCCCGGGCTGTCCATCGCACGAGTGAACACGTTCATCCCCCCCCAAAGCTGCCTCGTGCCCCTTGCAAGTCACCTCTCCCGCCCCAGCCCCGCAGCCACCGGTCTGCTGTCACCATTTGCGTTTTCCAGGCTTTTCCATAAACAACAGTGCACACAATGCTGACTTTTCCCAGGCTTTTCCCCCCAGCAGAGAGTCTGAGACCCGCTTGTGGCCACACGCGTTCCTGGTGGGCTCCTTCTCATCGTGGAGCAGCGTCCCACTCTGGAGCGCACACGCTGTGCGCCCATCGGTGTGGGTGTTGCCCGTTGGGCTGGTCACAAATGAAGCTGCACGTGTCACACAAGTCTTTGTGGAGACACACATCTTCATTTTCCGGGGGGTGGGACGGCCAGCTCCTCTGGTAAGGGCAGATGCAGCTGCCAAACCATCTGCCAAAGGGGCCGCCCCATGCGGCGCCCTGCCCGTGGTGGACGGGTTGCGGTTACCCACACCCTCGCCGACACCTGGTAGGTCCGTCTTTTTCAGTTTCAGCCGTTCTAATGGGTGTGCTCCACTTACCTTTAAAACTCAGGCTCTGCAGTCAGTTTCAGGATGCTGCTTCAGGACGAGTCCTCTATAAGAGCCTGTTGGCAAGCCTGGGGGTTAATGGCCCGCCCCCCGTCTCTCCGGTTCTCACTCCGAAGGACCGGCTGTTCCGTGAACGTGTCGGGAAGGAGGAGCAGCAGCAGCCGGATTGTTCTGAGAGGTGCGATGAGACGAGACAGAAGCACAGGTCAGACCACAGAGCCGTGGCCCTGACCTCTGTGGTCAGTTCAGTCCCGCAGAGCAGAGGTCCCCGGGCCGGTTTCCGGTTCTGCCCCTGGTCAGCGCGCACAGGAGAGGCAGTCAGTTCCATGTCTCTCCCTCTCCGTCTCCCTCCCTTCTGCCCTCTCTAAAAATAAATAAATAAAACCTTTTTAAAAAATAGAACGTACGATAGAAATGGGCAAAGAGCACTGACTGGCGTAGCTCAGTTGGTTGGGCCTCTTCCCACAAAGCGGAAGGCCCCGGTTCGATCCCCGGTCCGGGCGCCTGGGCTGCGGCCTCCACGCTCCGTGCCTCGTCGGGGTCCCTGCCAAAGACAGTCACAGTTCCTCACCCTCTCTCTGAAAATAAGTACAGAAAACCTTTAGGAAAAAACCCTACAGAGCCTACTGTGGAAAGGCAGTGAGTAAATATTTATTGGCTAAATGAGTGCGTTAATATTTCATTATTTTAAATAAGGAAGACGGCAAACTATAAATGCAGTGTCGGGATTTTAGAGCAAGCAGAGACCGTGGGAGTCGCCGAGCTGACCTGTGAACTCTAGAAACGAGGGCACTGGGAGGTCCGGGCCTCGCCTCGCGTCTCCCCAGCTCCCGGTCGTCCTGGCTCCAGAACGTGGACCCTCGTCTCCCGGGGAACCCGCCTGCCCCCACGGCCTGCACTCACATCCATTCCCCTCCAGAAACGTAGGTTCCCGGCCTGTTTAATACTGCTCACCAAATACGCCTCTTCAGCCAGTTAACATTTCCTAATCAGAATGATGGAATGTCTAAATGATCGCCAAATTGGATGGTAACAATAAAACACACTTAGGAAATCTATTAAAAATTGGACTGATAAACACTCTTGCCCTTCTTCCTTCTGAAAACACAGGTTTAGTGCTATGGAAAGATACTATTTTTAACTTACTTCTTCCCATCTTGTAATAAACCCGTAAAGGAAGGTGAGACGGGGAGTGTTGAGCAGACCGCCCTCTGTCCCATCCCCACTGCAGAGTCCTCCACCGCAGAGCAGCGGGGTATTTTAATGCAGTGCTAATGAGATTTGACTCTCTGGGCACTTCGGTGGTCGCCGTGTTGTAGATGGGCAGCAAGATGATATTTTAAGAGAAGGCTAACTGTTCAGTAATGAGCTATAGCTGCCTCCTAAAACTGGTGAGAGAAGCAACAGCCATTAAGCATTTCATAAAACGTGGGCATTGCTGGGGAGCTCGTAAATGTCGCCAGAAGCAGGAAGGAAGGAGTGCACGTTCATTCTCTATGGCCACTTGTTGGCCATTGCCGCTTCCACCCCGACAGCACGGCCCAGGAGACTTCCGGAGGGCCAGAGAAACAATTGCTCTCCAAACGCACGTGCACACACTCACGCTCTCTCACACACACACGCACACGGCACGGTACCTCCGTATTCTGCAAACCAAGTTGATTTTATAGATCAACTTGCAAAAGCTGGGGACTTCCCTCCCTTCCCATGGATGTGTGATCCCTTCTGTGATCTGGTCACCACAAAGCAGCCTGCTCAATTAAAGTCGTTTTCCTAGTTCACAAAAATATCCCTTTTCAACTGTGTCTGCCTAGTCACTCGCCATAGCCAGCCAGCTCAGGGCACAGTTGGAAATCTTAGTGCAAAGATGGCAGCGTTCTTCTCCCGCAGCTCCCACCCCACCCGCTGCCACATCCTGGCAACACGGGGCCCACCTGGCACAGCTGCCCCCCTCCAGGTCTGGCTCTGCCCCCTACAAGCCCTGGGCATGGGAGTGGTCCCCAAGGCACGTCATCTAGCTTACTGTGTTTCCTCGTTTGAGAAAAGGCGGTGGCAAACCTCCTTTGCCGTCCTGGGTTGAATGGGGAGTGCGGCGAGGTCTTTCGGAAGCGCCCTGCCTCGTCTAAACGCCTGCCTGTGGTTTCAGAACCAGGCCCACGGAGGAGAGAAGGCCCGCGACCAAGAATGGGCCCAAGGAGGAAGCCGTCAGAAAACTGCAAACCTGCGCGGAGCAGCAGGCCCCAGCGTTCAGGAAACAGTTTCTGGATGTCAGCAGGGAACCGGATGGCAAAATCAACGCGTGTGACTTCAGGAAGGTAGGCGAGCGGATTTTCTCTGCGCCTCTTTCTTCCGGAAGGAGTTCAGTCCTTTTATTACAACAACGTGCTCAAAAGGGTGGGTGTCAGGTTTTCTGTTTCTATTCCGTGACAAAGCAGCTCCATTTCTAGGCATCTTTTTAACAATTTCAAAGGATCCTTTAGCTCAAAAATGTCTTTGGCAACTTTCTTCAGAGAATATGTCTGATGCGGATGTGGCTGGGTTCTCTGATGCACTGTTGGCACCGCGCCTGCGCGGGGCGTGGGTGGGGTGGGGGCGGAGCGCCTTCCACGCTGCGGCTGGTTCCTCCCGAAGGTGGAGGCCAGCCTGCCTCACAGAGGGAAGCTCAGTGTGCTGATGTGCATGTGCTCGTGGGAACTGGGCAGGTGCCGCCCGGAAGGACTTGGCCTGAAGGGCTCTGTGCCACCTTCCCAGAAATCAGCTCCACCCACAGCTGCTTAGAGTCCCTGTGATACACCCGCCAGCCGATCACCCTCAGCTGGCACGTGGCCGTGACCGTGTGGACATGTTTGGAAGAAGGCGACGAAATGCATTTCCAAAAAGAGAATGATTATATTGGTGGCTAGGATTTATCTAGTGCAGGGTCCTACGCCAGACGCCGTCATAGGCTCTTTATGTGTTTCACGCCCCGGCTTCCACACGGCAGCGCCCCAGAGGGTGGATGGAGGAGGGGGTGGGCGCGGCACAGAGGTGGTGTTAGATGGCTGTTGAAACCGTCCAGACCTCCGCGTCCCCGGACAAAGGACGTGGAGCGTGGGGAAGAGGATACAGTCGGGAAATACTGGGGAGTGAGGGCAGCGTAGAAGGAAGAGGAAAGACGCACGGATGGTTCCTAGATTTCTGGGTTGGGGTCCGAGTGGCTCATAATTAGTCACTGGTAACTCTGAGGAGAGCACTTTCAGTGGGGCAAATGGAGGCCAGTGGGGGCAAACGTCTTACTCCTGGGGTACCTTGTCCTAGATCCTGGACCCTGGATTCCATTGCCCCCCAAGTCACTTGGCTCCAGTCCCCTCACACATAATGGCCTCAAAGATCACAGGGCCCCATGGTTTTGATGCATAGGGTCTGCTCGTAGGGTCACAGGAAACCAAGCATCCCCTACTCTGCCTCCTGAGTTTTCAGAGATGGAGAGTGGCCACTGTGGAGAAGAACAGTAGGGGCTGGCACAGTTGGGCTAAGGTCCGTGGCCACACGGGTAGTAGCTCTGAGGGCCTCTTTTTACCTGTCACCTGAGACCACCTTACTCCTGTAATCTCCACTGTGGGTTCTTCCATGTTAAGGCTCCATTGATAAGCCGATGACTCCCTTGTCCGCATCTCTGGTTCACATCCCAGACCATTCTCCTGAAGCCCCAGCCTCAGGTGTCCACCTGCCTATGTCACGTCCTCATGTGGGTGCGTGAGAAATGCCCAGATTCTCACCAGAGCCACCTGGCCAGCAGCCTGCACCTTCTTGGCAAAAGGGCCACCTTTTCCCCAATTGCTGAGGACTAAATCTTGGTGTCTTCCTTGATCCCCTCTTCCTCTCACGCCCACATTCAGTTCATCAGCACGACCTGTGGGCTCCCTGGACAGTTGTCCCAGAGTACAGCGGCCACCGCCACCCAACAGCCTTTCCTGTCCGCTCCCACTGGGGTAGGCCAGCAGCCTCCTCGCCGCTCTCTCCACCACAGCTCATTCTGCACCGCTCAGCCAGGCCACCCCTGTGCCAAGTCAGTGTCGGGGCTGCTCCTGCCCAGAACCTTCCATGGCTCCCATCTCCCCGGAATGAAGGCCGGAGCCCGAGAAGGACCCAGCCCCTCAGTCCCTCCCAGACCTTGACTCCTGCCCTTGCTTGGCCACCCAGCCTCCTGCTGTTTCCTCTGGACACTGACCCTCCACCTTTGCACCATGCACTGACTGTCCCCTCCACCTGGAATGAGTTCCCAGAGGGAACATTACTTCTAATAGCACTGCCCCTCCACACCTTCCTGTCATTTCAGATGTGGGTGTGCAATGATCCCCAAATCTGTGTCGCACCAGTTAGAGCATGGAAATGGTTGTGGCATTTTGCCCCGGGTGTTGGGGACTGAATACCTGCCCGTGCTTGCCCAGGGAGGCGCGCGTGCAGTGGCTCAGCGTGTGGACCTGGGCAGCGCTCGGCCGCTGGCCTGCGTGTTTCGTGTTGTAGACCAGGGTTGCTCATTCTTTATTATCGCCAGCCCCGCCCAGCCTGCAGGGGGGGGGGTGGCTCGCCAGGTTCTCCAGGGGGCGGCTGCAAGACCGGAGCCTGTGCCTAGTAGGGACTCATCAGTGGCTCAGCCCTTTGAGCCCCTGGGTGGCTGTCGCTGGGACCCTGTCCCGCTCTCCCCACCGTGGTCAGGAGATTTTGTCCCCCGTGCAAACTCCATTTGTTAGCTCATCATGCATCTGTCTTCCTTGATTTTCCTCTCTTTAGAGTGGGGGCCGTCAGAGTGTCTGAGGAACATGCCATAGCACCGCTGTGGCGCTGCATCGACGGTCCGCACAGAGGCAGAGCCATGGGGGGCGGTGATGGACTCGGAGTGCTTCTCGTGGGGGCGGGGGCGGGTGCTGTTCTCTCTGGGCTTGGGCCAGCCCGGGTCTGAGTGTCTTTTCTCATGGCGCATCATTTCCCACGACAATCCTGTAAACCATGTTTTTCTCCCAGGAAATCCCCCTCTCCCAGTTCATTGCTCTGGCCGCTGTACCATATGGCCAGTGACTTTTGCATATTTTTTAATGTCATTTTATTTAATTATGAGCCAAGAACTGGTGGTGTTGTGGGAAAACTGTTCTTGAACTTTAGGATGACCTAGAATCTTTATATTCTTCTTTATCTACTTTTTCTTCCTTTCTCCTTCTCCTTCATGAGCTGAATTAGCAGCAAACCCCAAAACAGTGTCATAAGTAAGAGAGGTAGCCATTCTTCTCTTTTGTAACAAGGAGTCTGGGTGTTGTCTGTACAGGACCAGTGCAGCAGCTCGATGGTGTCTTCAGAGACCCAGACTGCTTCTAGCCTTCTGCTCTTTCAGGATTGTCCCCATGTATACAAGATAGCTGCTGGAGCACCAGCCATTGCATACATGTTTCAGGCATAATGAAGGAGGAAAGTGAAGGGCAAGAGGATTGAGCAAGACAAGTCTTTGTTTTTTAAAACAGCATCCTTAGAAGCTTCTCCCAGCAGCTTTTTTATGGGCTAGGACTGTGTGTGTGTGTGTGTTGTATGGGTTTTAGCTGAGCACATTACGATCTGTAGAAAAAGCGTGGCCTGTTCCCGAGGGAGAAGGAGAAAATATGTGTTAGGCAGGCAAGTGTAACAGCCTCTGCCAAACTTTTTTCAGTAAACATTTCGAGGTGCCTGGTGCACGCTTGGTGTAGGACTAAGCCACATGGGGACCATGGATAGCAAAGAAGTTTCATTGCTTGGTGACAGTGACTCATGGGGGGCATAAAGTGACAAACACCCAAGGACACATAAGTCATGCTCAGTCTCACTGAGTAATTAGACTAATTGAGCCAGTCCATTCATCAGGAAGTCGAGGACGGCTCTGCTGGTCCAGTTCCCTGTGGTTGGCTGTTCCTGATGGGAAATTGTTCTACTTCACCCTCAGCAAACACACTGAATGCTGTTTGGCTGGCTGTGATTCTTAGTTCCATCTCTGGTGTCCCTGCTGAGGCCTCTGGAGGCAGACCCAGGGCTGCAGAGCTCGCCTGCAGACTCCCCAAGCCCCTGCGATGCATGTGAGGGACGCACGCGTCCGTGACAGCCCAACCCTGCGTCCCAGATCCCTGGCCCTTCCAGCTCCTTGCTTCTCATCCTCTCCAAGGCGGGACACCTGGCCTCGCTTAAGAGGCCATGAGTTTTCCTGCTTCTTCCCAGCAGATGCCTCGTGCCCTCTGGGGGGAGTTTGCACCTCCCCACCTCACTACCATTGCTTCCCAATTGCACCCTGTCTTTCCCACACAGCAGACGAGGACCCCGTGGAAAACAGCCCCCGAACGCTGGTGAGCGTCTCCCAGCGCTCAGGTGTGTATAAGCAAACAAAGTGACCTTGGGGACTCTGGGAGAATGACATCATTTTAAAAAGTAAAGTATTTAGTATTTAATCCATTTGGTTTTATATTTCTTCGGGAGAATACAACTCTGGTAAATTAAACATTTTAGAAACTATTACTCACTAGGGTCCGTTTTGTGAAGGGGGAGGACACAGAAACGAGAACAGTAAGAAGGACGGACCGAAACGTTCATGGTGAGAGGCCGAGTCAGAGACCCAGAGAGCGGGCGGGAGCCCTTCAGAGGCGCCTCCCCACGTTCGCCCTGTCAGCGTGCGGCGGCGGAGTGCTTTCAACCTCACGCTCACCCCAACCGTGTGAGCAGAGGGCAGCTCCCGATGCTCCCCCAAGGCCTGAGCGGCTTCAGCGCACGGAGCACAGGCTCTGCAGCCCGTTCGGGGCTCCCGGCTCAGGTGAGAACGTCCTTAGGAAAACGGGTGGAGGACCCTGCTCCCGAGGACAGGTGGTGGGGAGGAATGAACCGACCTAGTTCTTCAGCTTCCCGTGACAGCCAGCTTCCAGATGTGCATTCGAGGCCCCTCACGCCTTCAATCTTGTTGGTCTGAGCCCCGCACAACCATCAAAAGTATAAATGCAGGGGGTCGCCCAGCTCCTCCAGGGCAGGAGCAGCGGCAGATCCTCGGTGTCCGCCGACCATGCTGCTAGGACTTCACTTCTGCCGGGTTTTCTCCAGGCCTGTGTCCCCACTGGGCCTTTGCCTTCTAAGTGCCACAGCATGAGGACTTGCATTCTGCCTTTCAGAAGTTTTCAACGTCAGGTTTAGGTTTCAGCCCCCAGAAGTTCCAGGGGTTGGCACAGGTCCGGAAGGGGAAACCAGTCCCGGTGTGAGCCTGCCCCCTCCCGTCTCCACTTCGGGAGGCTAGCACCGCATACCGAGCGACCCGGAGGTGCTCTGTCCCCAGCCC